AATACACTAATCGTACTTGATGCATTAATTTACGACTTCGTTGTATCGCGGATCTCGACGGGCACATCTCGATTTATGGCGGGAAGAGGGAAGGTATTTCATCGCAAAACAAAACAAATAGCGCGTACAAATCGATGGAAGCCGCGAGAATAATGCTCGCCGCGTAAACCGAGCAAGCCGTTTAAAACCGCTACTTGATTAACAGGAAAGCCTCGTAGATCCGTGTTCGGTATTTTCTGGTAGCGAGCACGGTGGCGGCTTGGGATCCGATATCAACATCCCGAAAATCGAAATTACAATCGGATTACAATCAGGGGTTTCTCATTAAAAATCAACAGGGACAGGACGCAGAGAGGAGAAATTTCTTTCCATCGACCGATCAACTGGAACAGGTGTACACGTTTAATGGATTAGAAGAAAAACTGTCGTCCTTTTTCGATTCACGGGGGGACGTTCTATCTCAACCGTTTTTCGAGATCCGGGTTAATCGAATACAAGATTCGCCACGTCCGTGAAGGTTGGGTGAATACAAAACGAAACGGGAAACGGTGGCTTCTCTGAAGAGAGAATCCGATTGTTTCGACCGTTTCCAAGACGAGCGTACCAATTACTTAAAAGCTTGGAATTGTTTATCGGAGAGAAAGGCTAGCCCGGAGGGAGAGTTTATGGGATTCACACCCCCAACAGGTGGCACGAAGCGAAACACTGCGGGCCGTGCGACCCCTTTCAGAAAAATCATTCTAGCTCGCATTAGACTTTCAAATTACCGGACACGCCGGATAACGCCATATTCCACCCTCTGCTCTCGTATAATTCACCCTGTTACCCAACGTTCCCGGCCATGTAATTGTTTCCACCGTTTTCTGACGCCGCGCATTTCCGATTCACCGGCCACCGGGAATATTTTTCACCACGGAATCGTGAAAAGAGAAATGGATCGGTGGTGGTCGAATCGAAAGATCGAGGAAAGTTTGCAAGGAAGGATCGAGTCGAGAGAAACACGTGTCCATCCCGCGATAGAAGAAAAGCGTGGAAAGACGTTACGTTAAATGGCTCGTGTCGTATATAGGGAACAAAGGGAAAGCTGCCCTCTCCAACGATCCGACCGCTTTTGTCTCGACTCGGTTTGTTTCAAAGGGAACGATCCGAAATTTATAGAGAGAGAGAGAGAGAGAGGCTAACGCAAGGATGGCAAAGAATACAAGGGGATGCAAGGAGATTCATCCCTCGTTTAATCAAAGTTCGAAAAGAACTTTTTGGCGCCGTGCGTTATTACGACTCGCGATTCTTCTCATCCGATCGAATCGAAATCTGTGCGAATCCAAGGGACGACTCGATATCCTCGAATCCTCGTCGTTTCGAGAATGCATCTCTGTTGGAGAATCTTTTGGCAGACGAGTCTAATGTTTCTCGGATATTCGATGCATTGAAGCATTACATCCACCGAGAAAAACATCGAACCATGGGAAATCCGTATCATTCGAGAACGAAGAATTCTTCGTTTTCTTTCGACTCATTCTCGGGGAAAAATGGAATGCTCGTTTGCGTTTTGAAGAAAATAAATAAAATTCTCAGCGAAACTGTGAACGGTGTAAATAAAGAAAATATCTAAAGTTGGAAGCGATAATGTGACAAAGCAAACTTACTACAAAACTGAACTTGGGGCAGATTAAAACTAGTTGAAAACCGTGGCCTAGCTCCGTCCGTGCGGTCTCATCCCGCTCGATCCGCGGTCCGTTTCACCATTTTGCGGCCAACTTTTGACCCATATTTCCTCGTACGAGAATTAATACTCGTTAACGACAAAGTAGCAGCACAAAGCCAACTTTGATATTTTACGCGTGCTCGAACGGTCCACTTGTTCAACTCGTCTAATCTTGTTCGTTATTCCCAAGAATATTCAAACCGATTCCAAAAATTATCCCCCTATCTTTTCTTTATTTTTTTCTCAATTTCCTAAATTGATTCTTCCTTCTCGACATCTCTATATCCTTTATACTTACTACAATTAGATTGACTACAAATTACCAAATGTTAAAAAATTCTTCGAACGGAGAAATGTGTGCAAATTACGGAGAATACAATTCGTTAAGACCAAGCAACCGCGCGTAAAAATAACTTTGACTCGATCAAGCATTGCTCGGAGTATACTCAGCCGCGATCCCGATGGGTGTTTTCTGAGAACACACCGAGTCGCGAGTCACGGAGTGCTCTTTTACCGAGCGGAAAGACCGCCTTTTTTTTCTCCTTTTTTTTCCTCTTTTTTTTTTTCTTCTTAAAAAGAACGAGATTCCCAGGAAAACGCGAAAGCATTTGGGATCCGTGGCAACGAGGTATCGGTGGAGGACCGCGAACAAAATGTTTGTCGAGTCAACGGAACGTGTTTTCGCGCCGCGACAACTCACTCTCTCTCTCTCTCTCTCCCTTTCGCTCTGTCTATTTCTCCATCTCTTTTTTTTTTGTTCCTTCCCCGAGAAGAGACATTAAAGCACGCTCCAAACTGGTTAATGTTTAAACGAGCCCCGAGCCTTTTCGTGGCAACAACACCTACAACTGTCTATCGTTTTCCAATCTCCTCTGGTGCTGGGAGGATTTCGGTCGGTCTACTTGGAAAAATCAAGCGCGGGAAATTAGTGGGAAAAGTTGGCGCGAACGAAATTCTTTAATTATATAGAGAGAGAGGGAGAAGAGGGAGAAAAATATATATAGGAACATGCACACGCATGCACACACGGGGGAAAAACACAGAAGATGGGAAAATGGGTGGGTGAAATAAAAAAGTTTATCGATGGAAAAATGTGTGAATTGGCGCGATTTAATTTGCATCTGGGTACTGTCCGCGAAAATTGCAAATGCTCACTGATTAGAGTCAAGTTTCCTTCTGCACCTCGAGGATAAGGGGGAACAAACGAAACGAGGAGAACGAGAAGAGGAAGGGGGGAACAAGTTGGGAGGGGCGGGAAAAAGACGGGAGCAAGTTGAAAAGGAAACGAAGGAAAAAGATTTGCCTCGGCTAATTGCATGAGATATGCGATTGTTTCATGCATATTCAACGAGTCCTCGAGGTGGAAATAGCTGATCGCTATTCCTTCCTTCATCCTGCGTCTTCCGCTTCTTTCTTCCCCTCCCCCAAGGTCTCTTTTTCCGCCTCGCTTTTCCTCCTTCCTCTCGGAGGAAAAGTTGGCGCCCTCCCCATCTCCCCGTCTCTCCTCGAAAGATTTCCTCGAACGAGTAATCCGATCCTAAGCCGCGAAGTATCTCCTCGATATTAATTAAGTCTCCTCGATCTTGTGTTAAGTCTTCTTGATTGTACGCACCTGTAACTAGTTTTCTTCTTCCCTTCCCTTCCATTCCCTTCCCTTCCCTTCCTTTCCGTCCAATATACATCGTATACGCGATAAACGATATCTAGATGAAATCAAATCTCGAGAAACGCGAAACTCGAAGTGATTCCCATTTTCGAAAGTTTCTCCCCGCTGACGCGCGGTCAGATAGGATGTTGCGATTGGAGAATCGTGGGGAATCGATTCGTCGACCAATTAGTCGATAAAAATCGAAAAGCGCGCCCATGCCTCGCGATAGAGAAATATCACGATGGGATGGGATGGGATGGGATCCACGAAACCGCGATTCGAATAAATTCATCACCTTTCCATTCGGGCCACGATACGCCACGATATTTCGTTCGATGTGTTCCGTTCAACGTTCTCGGTGAAACAGAATTTTGCGAGGCATGGCCGAGTCGGTTAACCTTCCCTTCCTCTCCCGTACTCCGGACGATTATCGAATTACCGGAAACGTTTCCCCTCCCCCGTCGGTACCGTTCATCCCGCGGATTTTCCATCGGCCACGCTCGTACTTTCGAAATATCGGCCGAATGATTGATAACGAGAAAACTGGGTTGCGGATTTATTTTTTTTCTCTCTCTCTCTCTTTCCCTCTCTCTCTTTGTTTCGCTTGATCCCTTTGTTCGTGCTTTCACAGGCCGATTGCCCGTTCGCTTTGCCCCCCTCCCCCCTTTCTCTCTCTCCTCCCCCAACCTCTATGTATATGTATTTATACTCGCGGCTATGGCGTGTTTCCTGTGAATTTTCGTTCGCTTTTTATTTCCCATCGGTATTCCCACCGAATTTTATATCACGCCTTACAAAATCAAACTTAATTCTTTCGTTCGCTTTTGTACGTTCGTAGTACGTTCTGTTGCTGTCTCTTTTTCTTTTTCCTTATTTTCATTCTAAATCATAAGAAAATGGTGAGAGATTGCGAAAGAAAGTGGAAGAGGGAAAAGAGCGATGGAGGATAGATAGATCTTTGGAAAAAGCGTTGCAAATCGAAAGCAAGGATCTCGAAAATATCCGATATCGAAGGTAACGGTTTCTTCGGGAGCAAAAGACCTCGATGCTCGAAGAATTTAGAAAATGCAAGAATACGTCGAGTCTTCCCGTCGTTTCTTCTCGTCGTTCAATGCTTTCCCCCGATACAATAGTATTGTACTTGTTAAAAGCACGTGTAAACTTGGCAAAACGATGCGCAATTTCTTGCATTTGAGAAACCACTTAGTCTGATTGAGAGAACGACCCGGTGCATGATCGAGTCTAATCGATTCGATTAGAGACGAGCTTCGAATAGATCTTGTCAAACGGGCTAAGCTTTTTCGCGAGCAAATTCACGGGAAAGATTCGAGGAATTGGTTTTACAAAAGATCAACTTGCGTTGCGAACTTTAACCGAAATAAAGAAAAATTTTCGTATTACACTTGCAATTTGAATATTTTTACATCGAGGCAATAGCAATAAATATTTTAATTAAATAAATACAATAAATATAAAGGCGCAAATTTTCGATACGTGTAATAATGTAAAAAAATTCTAAAACAATCGTTGGATTACAAAATTTACTTCGTAATGTTCGAAACAAGGATAAAAGAAAATAGAAAGGAAAGAAAGAAACATTTCAGTCGGAGTGATGGGACGATGAGAAAGGAATGTTTTCAAACTTACCGCCAAGAAGGATATGCACGAGAAGCGGAAGAAATCTGTATTGGCGCACTTTCGTCATGATTCTTGATTTTTCTACATGAACTGCTCTTCTTATCGCAGAACTCTCGGTTTCAAACTGATGCAATTTGTTCGTTCCTTCGAACGTGATTCAAATGTAAACACAAACCCGCGAATTTCAAAAGTTCCTTCGATTACGAACAAACATGTTATAAATAATCGTATGAAATATTTTTCTTTTTGACTTTTTAAAAGAAAAAAAAAATGACGAGGAAGTTTGAATGAAAGGGAACACGAATGGTGAACCGTCGAGTCGAAAGAGTTCGAACGGAAAAGACCGTTCGACAGACAAAGTCCACGAGAAGTTGCGCGGACGAAGTCTCGGCTTCGACTGGCGCGCACCAACGTATCTGACCCCTCTGATAACCGGCCAGCCCCCTCTGGTTCAAATTCATCCCCTTCCCTCTTCACCCTGTCTGACTCCATCTCTCGTCGACTGTCTACGAGACATATCGTGGATCAAAAGGGACCAACTTAGACAAGGTACCCTTTTGCTCTTTTTAACTTACAATTTAGCATGAATCGTATCGCATTCTATCTTAAAAAAAAATGAATTGATGACATCGAATAATTCGAAGCATGCATCGAAATCGTCGTGTTGAATGAATTTGAAACACTGTAGTAAAATGTATGAGAAAAATCATTACACGTTGTATAATAGAGCCTTTTCCAAAGTTATTCCATTTTCTTCCAATAATATTTCCATTCCCTTCAAATCAAATATTTCTCGTGGAGTTAAATTAATACGTTTTTTTATTTCATTCGTCACTTTTATTTTTCTCTTTTTTTACGTTTCATATTATCAACGAAATTCTGTTTAAAAATATTTGATGCATATTGCCAAATCCGCAAACATTCCTAAAAAGAATAAGACAATAAGAAGTATAATACGATAATTAGATAAAACTATGATAAGCAATTTGACGTAACGGAAATTTATAATTAGACTTTTATAATGAACTACTGATCTATAAAGAAAATAAGTTTTTACTTTTTTTATTTGTTTTACATATTTTATATATTTTAATATTTACAAATTAGATCTTAGATGATTCGATAATAAAAAATTATTGTAATTTTTTAAACATAATATATCATCACTGGAAATATGTATAGTAATAAATAAAAAGTAAAATACTTATTTATGATAATTATAAATATACATATATATATATATATAAATATTATTAAATATATTATGACTGGCTTAAAATAATCTGTTCTTTTTATTGACAATTAAATGCTTGTCGCAATTTACACAATCCCAAATAAACCGGATCAAAATGTGCACATACGTATTAAATAGTCAAAAAGGAAGGGATAAAATTTCCGTTAGGAGAATTATGTTTTGTATATCGGAAGTGAAGTCTATAGTTGAAAATCAGCCGACGATAATAACGTGACGCGTTTTCTGTGTAAGCCAGACGTTAGCGCCTCTCGTGAGTTGCGCAACAGTCGCGAGGTCAGCATCATTGTAACTTTTGGCGCCAATTGACTACAAGGCGCTATATATTCCATTTACAAAACAATTATATTAAAAAAGTAGTACGTATATAAGTGGCGATATTAAAATCGCTTATTTATCCATACGTGACAGTCATAAAAAGAGTTTTATACACATATTTGTAAACATAACCTTGGTATACTTTTAGTGCCGCCAAGGAAAGCAACAAAACGGCCAGCTCACAATTCTGCAAAAGGCCCACGAGAGCCAAAACAGATAAGGAAAAAACAAGGTAAATTATTATTTCGTCAGTATTAAGTTATTTTTTACAATTTATTTTTAGCGTCGAAAAATATATTAGCCCAGAAAAATTTGATCGAAATATATAACCGCGAAGCACATGGATATGTTTAGACAATGTGTTTCACGATCGATAATTATTGCTTTCTTTTAATTGGTAGTTAGAAATAAATTAGTATTTTTAGATAAAAAATTTCGTGAAACCGTCGTAATAATTTTTCTGTTATAGTGCCGCGAATATTACGTGTCCTGCGGCAAATGTGGATCGGCACAAACATAATTGTACCTCTCTAAACCAAATACCATAAAATAGTACTAGACATTTGCATGCATTTCACAGAATTAGTTGTGAAACCTGATTTACGACAATCTGCGACTGGCGGCGTATTATTAGTATTTGGACAAGGCGATGTTGGACAACTAGGTTTAGGAGAAGAAGTTGTTGAAAAAACACGACCAGCAGTTGTACCTGGATATCAAGATATAATATCTGTAGCAGCTGGTGGTATGCACAATGTGTGCCTAAGACAAACCGGAGAAGTATTAACATTTGGATGCAATGACGAAGGAGCATTGGGACGAGATACATCTAAGGATGGTTCTGAGACTGAACCTGGTTCCGTTGAATTACCAAGTAAAGCTATTCAAGTGACAGCTGGAGATTCTCATAGTGCTGCTTTATTAGAAGATGGACGAGTTTTTGCATGGGGCTCTTTTAGGGTATAATTTTTTTTTACATTTCAAATATAAATTTTCTTATCTTATTAATTGCATTGATATTAACAAAATTATATTTATTATTTAAGGATTCTCATGGTACTATGGGTCTAACATTAAAAGGAAATGAACGGTTTCCAATAGAAATACTGCCTAATGTAAACGTAGTTAAAATAGCATCTGGTGCTGATCATTTAGTGTTACTTGATAAAAATGGACATGTATATACATGCGGTTGTGGAGAACAAGGTCAATTGGGACGAGTAGCTGCCAGAACAGCTAGTAGAAATACCCGTCATGGTATGGGTCCTTTATTAACTCCTGCTTTAGTTGAATTTAAAGTTACTAAGAAATTAGAATTTGATGACATTTGGGCTGGAACATATTGTACATTTGCTAAAGAATATCAAAAGGGAGATATATATGTATTTGGATTAAATAATTATTATCAAATTGGTAAGTTAAAATAAAATATTAATAAATAAAAGTGCATAAAAATTCTTTTAAAAAATTATAAAAATAATTGCAAATAACAATTTTAGGTTTAAAAGATCCTGTAACTCATTTTCATCCGCAAGTTTCAAAAACATTTAGTGGAAAAGTTTGGAGGCATATTAGCAGTGGGCAACATCATACTATTGCCTTAGATGATTCTGGTCAAGTATTTGTTATGGGCCGTAAAGAATATGGACGTCTTGGACTTGGTTCTAATTGTTTGGATGCAAAAGAATTAACACTAGTTCCTAATTTAAGTTCCTTTAAATGTATTGATGTTGCAGCAGGCAGTGCCCAATCTTTTGCTGTCACTGAATTAGGTAGCATTCTTTGCTAACATCATTATTTATCGTTATTCTTATATTATTATATTGTTAAATATGTAGTATTTTTATCTTCGTATGTATAGGAGATTTATATTCATGGGGTATGGGTTCAAGTGGCCAGCTAGGTACAGGAGAAGAAGAGGATGTTGAAGAACCTACACTAGTCAAAGGAAAACAATTAGAAGGAAAAACAGTAGTACGAGTCGCGGGTGGAGGTCAACATACATTAACATTAGCAACAATCCATCCAATGAAAGAAAAAACAGCTGGTTAATATTAAATGACTTGTTAGATTTAAATTTAAAGTGTTTCATATATGTGATAATAATTTGGACAACGAAGGGAAAAAGGAATTAATGATTTTTATTCTCCTTGAACAAAAATTACATTGAAGGAGAAACTAACAAATAAAACTAATTCTGAAGATGTATCGTAATTTCGATAGTAAGACGATACTTATATTTGTACATAATTTTTTTGTGCTAAAAAAAATTGCATCATTGTGTTTATATAATTAATATATCGACTGATTTTTTGATTGCATTGTTATTTTTTCTACTTGATTGTATTATGATGAAATAAAACACTTTTCTACTTGTGAATTATATATTATTAAAAAATGTATCTTTGTTATATAGACCTGAATTAAGTTTTATTACTTATATTAATGTTTCAAAAATATTAAGTATTTAATTAATTCTGAATCATATTTAAATTTTATTCACATTGTATAATTAAATACAGAATAAAGATGTTATTATAATTTATTCTATGTTTTTAAAAATTGTTTAATCTTATAATAAATATAATTGATATAATTATTAATTATCGTTTAGAAAGATTGAAATCTTAAAAAAATGCTTAGATAGAATGAATAAAAATAAAATTACCATTGATATTTCTCTTAATAAACTATTTTATTTTGTTTAACTTAATTTTGGTTGTTCTACAATTTTGCCTTCTTGCAAAGAAATTTGTTGTAATTTTTTCCCAATACGTTCTTGTACATCTAAATATTTAGCAATACAACGATCAAGACATACAGATTCACCTTTACTTAATTCTGAACTAGTATATTTTGGTGGAATACATTTTCTGTGACATGCTGCTGTCATACGATGAAACATATCAGTCATCATTTCTATTTCTATATCTCGTACTAACTTCAATTGTTCTTCACTAAACTGAGGTAATGCAGCCATTTTTTAGATAATTATCAATTATTATTTTACAATTATTTAAATGCACAAATAAGTCTAATTATTATTAGGAATCTGGAACTGTCTCGTTTTCATATTTTTATATCTTTTTGCATTTATATTTTTTCTTGCTTTTGAAAAAGCATATACTCCTATTCCAGTAGATATAAACCTGTAAAAAAAGATTATCTATTTACTAAGTTCAAAATCAAATTAAATATATAATATTAATGATAACAATTATATATTATTAAATACAAAGAAACATAAATGTTACTAAATTTTAAATAAAAATACAAATACATGATTCTTATATAAAAAGTTAACCACAAAAAAACGGCTATTACGACAGAACAGCGATTGAAATATCTTATATTTACATACCTACCATCCAATCGCTATCTTCGTACAATTTTGTAAAGCCATTCTTTTTTAAATGTCATAAAATATCTCTATAATAAAAATTAATTGTTTATATACCTGTACATTCATTCATACAACTTTGTGACCACGCTATTATGCGATCATGTGACTAAGTAAAATACGATCATGTAATTTTTACCATAGATGATGTACAACATAGATCTAACATTACATATTATGAAACATATTATGAAACATTAAATTAAAAAAATTTAATAAAATGTATGTCACCCTACTTTTTAATTTACTTTCCATGTATAAAATAAAAAAAGAATAAATATACATATGATATAAAAAATAAAAATATAAAAATAAAAGTTACATATTAATTAAAATTAAAATTTAATCAAAAAAATTATTATAATATGAAATAATAATTTATATTAATTATTTTCAATAATAATAGCGAATAAAACAATTTCAACTCTTGATAAGAAGATTTATTTAATGTAACAAATTGCACGTAAAATTAATATAATTGATTAAATATGATTATTATTACTTGTTTAATAAAATTATTTAAGTTTTTAATCAATAAATTCAATAAAAAAAAATTATTAAAATTAATCAAATATCGAAGTAAATTTTATTGAACAAATATAGATAAGCAGAACAAATAACGGAAATTAGAGATAGAAAGAAAATTGTGAAATCGCCATCTTTAAAATGCCGCAAATGAAACTAAAAAAAGCAAATAGTAGAAGAGCAAATAGATAGAATAAAAATTAATCATCAACAGCATTTCTTGAATGTCAAAAATATTTTTCCAAAAATATTGGAAAGATGGCATTAATCCTTAATTTTTATTGTATTTTACTTTGTATTTAAATGTCTTTAATATTTAAGAGATAGTGTTGATAGTTAATTCTTCTTTATTTCTATTATTTATTTTTATTATTCATTTTTTTTTTTTTTATTTATCTTTTATTTACGATACTCTAAAAATGACATTGATTTCATAATTTTTAATCTTTTTTTTTTTTTACTTATTTATTTTTCTTATATTATATTTGTGTTATAAAATTTATGTCTTCAAAACATGATTTCTATATTTGATTAATTTTATTGTTTTCTTTTCATCAAATTTTCAATTTTTTACTTTCTATTTTTAATTATATATAACTAATATTTATAATTGTAAAAGCAAGTATAATATAAATAAATTTAATATTATAGCATCATCTATTTTTATGAGAAAATTTTACAAATTGATATTATTTTCATTATGTTGTAATTAAAAATACCAAGATAATGTTATTTATACATGAGTACGACTCATTATGTACAATTCATATAATCAAAAAATCTATGAATATAATTCGATATATATAATATGTACAGAGTATATATACAATGCATAGAGATATTTATCAAAAGATGTATTAAAGAAATTATATTTAAAATCTATTTATATATATTATATAATATTAACTTTTATAATTAAATTAAATATAATTTTTACATTTAAAGAAGGCGTACCAAACATTCTCTTTTTTTTACGTAATTGATATTTTGAAATATAAAAAATAAAATTCTATTAAATATTTATCTTATATTCATTAAATAATTTATTTTATTCCTCATTCATGATATTAATATTATTAATTCTAGCAACAAGAAAATTAAATAGGAATGTTCTATGAAAATTTTACAAAGGCTTTTCGTTTCTGTATACTTCGATATATATGGAAAAAGATTGAACATCGAAGCATTCTATTGGTTATTTCTCATAGTAGTGCTATATTAAATCAATAAAGTTAGAAACAATATTGAAAAAGTTAAAAAACTTTAAAACGTTAAAAAATCTCTAAAACGTGGAAGAAGAAATACATTAAATGATAAATTTATTTTGTGTCTCATTTATGATTTTAATTTAATGAAACAGATTAATTGATAATAAAAATACTATTGATTTACTTATTTGCTTACAGTGATTATGAAGGTAATTGCTGTTTAATTAAAAAAATTAATTTATTTTATAATATCTTTATAAATACTGCCATATATTAATTTTAATATATAAAAATTAAAGTTAAAAATTAATGTGAAATGTTAAAACAAAACAATTTTTTTACTCATAATATCGATATTACATGGAAAACGTTCGTTCGAGAAACTTGCGATACTATTCCAACAATATTTACTGAAAAGAAAGATCATTGCTTATATTTCAAAGGAGATGAAGCAAAGAAGGCATACGAAGAAATTATATCCGAACAAAGTGATATGATTTTACAATCTGAACATAAACATAAATTAAAAACATTTAATAATTGCAATTCAATATCAAAACCGTTTTCGTCGAATGAAAAAAAGAAGAATCAATTTACTCAGGAAAAAGTGACAATCAATACAATATTAAAAGCAGTAGAACAAAAAGACTTAAAATTTTTATCAAAATATGTAACATGGGAAAATGTTAATTTGACTGATGATTTTGGTTGGACTCCTCTCATGTCAGCTGCATATTGTGGTCATTTGGATATTATAGAATTTTTATTAAACCTTGGTGCCAATAAAAAAGCCAAAGAAAAATCTGGTCTTACTGCGGCACAATTGGCATTAAAAAAAAATTATTTGAATATAGTTGCATTACTTAAGAAAAAATCAGAATCTGTATGTAACAAAACATTACAAGAAAAAGATACAAATGATTCAGAAAAAAATGCAAATACTTTATTACAGATAAAATCAGAATCTATAGGACTTTTGAAAAATTATAAAGACAATATACATAGAGATAATGATAATATAGAGGAGGGATTCAATGAGGGATTTTATTGTAAAATTTGCAAAACTAATTTTTACCAAACAACTTGGAAGAAACATGAAACATCTACACTTCATATTTTCAATAGTAAACCAAAATTAAAAAACACAATGTATGGGATATCAAAACAAAATAAAGGTTATAAAATATTATTAAATTGTGGATGGGATGAACAAGGTGGTCTTGGTCCTACAGGAAAAGGAATAAAATATCCTATTAAAACCTGTTTAAAATCTGATAGAAAAGGACTAGGACAATGTAATGAAAAAGAATATAGAGTGACTCATTTTAAACCTAAAGATCCTGCAGCAGTTAGTGATTTTAGAACATTTAAACAAAAATGTTTGAAGAAGAAAGATAGAGAAAAATTACTTGATAGGGAAGTTAGAAGAGAGAAAGCATTACGTATTGCTTTGTCTTAAAATAATACATAAATGATTAATATTTGATAATATTTCTAAGACTGAATAGAATGTAATTTTAATTTTTTATATTTTTTAAATATGTTTTTTCTTTTATTACCATTCAATTTAAGAATTATAATATTATTTATTACATTTACAGAAACATTTTATCATATAATACAATAATATTCATAATACATAAATAATTAATCATAATTTTTGTTGTAGATGAAATTTGATCAGCAAAAGGCTTTAAAACATATACAACAAGTGGAAGAAAAAGCAGGTGAGATTCTTACTGATCGACAAGAAATAATTGCTTTGGATAAAAAAAGAAATAATGATAGAGTTGGAATGAGGGCACTGCAGAAAGAGAATTGTGAGAAAATTTGGATAACTATTGGACCATTATTACTTAAAATGCCATCCAAAATTGCAGAAGAATTACTTATTAAAGGTATTTTCATTTATTATTTTTTTTTTTTTATAATTTTAAAAAGTGAATAAAAATTAATTATATTTTTTTTTCATATTACAGATCAAAAAGAATGTGACATAGAAATTAATAAATTAAGAAGTAATTTAAAAGTTAAAGTGAATGAATTAAGAGATTTAGAACTTAATCCATCTGTTCCAGGTTTAATGTTGCAACCTATGTCTTATAAAGAAATGTCAGCAATAAAACAAAATTTAGGTCAAAATTCTTAAATATATCTAAAATTTAGAATAAGAAATTATTAGGAATAATACTATAATATATTACCTATTATATATTATATAATATAATATTATAAAAATATATATTATAAAATTAAAACTAATATGAAATAAATAAAATTAAAACTAATAATTATATATTATTATTATTTACTAAGTAATTTTGATAATTTATCTAAATTATTTTTTTCCATGTATTTTAACATTATAATATTTATGTATGTATCAATATTGATTCATTAGTTCAAAAAAAATTTTTTTAATATAAATATAAATATAAAAATGTAAGTAATTCATTACCAATCTATCTTTTAATTCAATTTCTAATCAATTTGAATTATATGTAAATTTATATAAAAATTTATCATATTTTTTTATAAATTTTTTTTTACACAATTTAAAAATGTATTATAGAAACATTTTAACATCTTTTTTTGTTGATCTTGTTGATCTATTAAATAAGATAAAAATAAAAAAAAAATAAGATAAATTTTAGAATATTTATATATTTATATAATAAAATTATTAAAATTTATAATATTAAATATTAAATATTAAAATTATCTATATTATATTTTAAGTTTATATTTACTTTTCATTTTATCATATATAATATTTTTTATTATTCTGAATAATATTATCTATCATTTCAACTTTATCACATTAATTTACTTACCATATTACCATTATCAGATTAATTTATTATTTATTTAGAAAAAAATCCATTTGTTTTAAAAAGTAAATTTTTGTTATTAAATTTTGAATTAAATATACAATACAGTTTTGTTAGTTTTGAAACTTAACCTTATTTTTTATAATTCTTTGTTCGGTATAACACGATTTTGCATAACGCAGCATATATTTAAGAATTTAAGTATGTATTATTTTACATCCTTTGAAAAATGTTATGTATTTATCGTATATCATTATAACATTATATATAGTATATTTTACCATGAAATATAAACATACATATTAGTAATAAATATGGAAGCAAATTTAGACATCTTTTAGACAACAGAAACGTACTTAATAATTTTTAGTGAAATTGAATTGATTTATTTTGAATTTAATACATTTTATTATCTAAGAAATTATAATATTTTGTTAATAATATATATATATATATATATATTTATGTATACTTTATATACATATATATATAAATTGTATGAAACAAGTTCGTAATATTATACACGTATATTTCGTGTATATATATTTTCAATTAATCATATAAAAATTTAAATTACAACATACATAATATAAAATGACATCTCGAGAAATATTAACTATTCAATTAGGTCATTATTCCAATTTTATTGGTGCTCATTGGTGGAATATACAGGTATTTTCAAATAATATATTAATCATAAAATTATAAGATATAGTATATAATAATTTTTAATCTTTATTTAAATATTTTTAGGAAACTAATTTCTCTTATGATCCTGATAACCCATCAGAAATAAATAATGATGTATTGTATAGAGAGGGTGAAAATTTAAAAGTATAAATATATAGAAATATATTTCAAAAATATAATATAAAAGTTTATAATTTTTTTCTAATTGAATTATAATTTTTTTCAGAAACAAGTTACTTATACTCCCAGATTACTTCTTGTAGATTTGAAAGGAACATTTGGATATTTAAAAGAAGAAGGTTCTTTGTATGATACTCAATCAAAAGAAGTTCAACAATCCTTATGGGATGATAAAAAAGTGGAGATCTTGAAAGAAGAAACAATTGATAAACCTCAGTTTATTAAAAGTTTAGATGAACCATCTACAACCTCAGATACAGCATCAACATCATTTAATTTGGAAAATAATATTAATTCATGGGTAGATTATCTATTACCTAGATTTCATCCTAGAACAGTGAATGTCATTAAACAATATAGACACAATGACACAATGCAACCATTTAATGTTTTTACTTATGGAAGTAATTTATGGAATACGGAACAATTTTCAGATGATTTTTCAGAAAGAATAAGAGCATATGTAGAAGAATGTGATTTAATGCAAGGTTTTCAGGTAAGTGATTATTTGTATTTATATAGGTAATTTATAATATGTTATTCTAAAATATCTTGAAATTACAGGTAATTTTAGATTCTGTGGATGGTTTTGCTGGAATTGGAGCATCATGCATACAATATTTAAGAGATGAATATGGAAAAAGTATAGTGTCATTTCCATGTATGGACAGTAAAAAATCTGAACCTTCCACATCCAACATGATTAAGATACTTAATACAGCTTTATGTTGGCAACATTTAGGAGAACATGCTTCATTATTTAGTCCACTCTGTTGTGCACAAACTGTTTGGCCAAAAATTGGAGATCCACGAATATTTAACTATTTAACATATAATTCTGAACTAAAATATCATAGCAGTGTACTTTTAGCAACTGCTTTGGATACATTAACTATTAGATATAGACGAAAAGAATATCCAAACGTGGTTTTATCCGATTTATGCGCAGATCTTAACAAAATGGGTAGAAAAGCAGTCGCAACAAGTTTAACTTTACCATTCCCAATGAGTGCAAAAACAGATTTAATTGATGTACTTGATAATTTTGAAGAACATTTGTGGACAAGTTTAACACCAAATTGTGATATATCAATGGATAAAAATATGCAAAGCATAGTATTACGAGGAATTCCTGAAGAAAGATTAAAACGACCTATTTCTTATGCAATGAAACAAATATCAAAACCAGCATATAGATGTTCTACTGTACATGAAATGATGATGCTTTATTTATCATGTAATAGTCATGCATCAGCAACGTATTTATCAAATATTTCATTACCATTGAAGATAAGATTTCCATATCCAAATATTTTCAATAATAATATTACTGAAACCGGAGATATTATTGATTGTCCTTGGAGGTTATTAGTAGGAACAGGTAAATAAATCATATAAAATCTTTTTATATTATATTTAATGTTTATAAATTTTCATTAATTTTTATTTTAGATGTACAATCTGTTCCTGTTATGGCTGGTTTACATAGTGGAAATAATCTTAGTGCAATGTATGAGTCTTTACATAATCAGTTAAGTAGAATAAAGAGTATAAAGAAATTTCATGTATTTACAGACTCTGGTTTGGAAGAAGATGAATTTAATGAGTGTCTTAATCATTTGCTTGATTGTAAAGAAAATTACGAAGATCATTACATTTAAATATTACTAACTTTATTCATTACATATATTCTTTTATAAAAACCTTAACTCCCTATTATTTTGTATTTCATTTTTATTACATATGTAATTATAATCGTGAACGTATTTTGCAAGAAGAAAATCGACATAACATTAATTAAAAAAAGTAAATGCATACTGCTAATTAAGTTTTTTCCTCAACTTTCTGATTAAAAGGTTCTTAAAAGTGGGAGTGCCAAGACACACCCTTATTATTAGATTTCGTATTGAACATTGGAAGTGCGAAAATTCAGTTGTAAGCTTTAACCGGTAAGTGAAACACTGTGATATAATACGTAGATAAAAAAAATTATCTATATATCATTATTATTATTAATTAAAATGGGAAATAAAGTAGCTATATTTACCGAAGAACAACTAGAAGATTATCAAGATTGCACCTTCTTTACTCGTAAAGAAATCTTAAGGTATATACATACACATATAATATATATAATTATCGATCTATTCTTACATCCATATATTTCTAGAATATTTAAACGGTTTCGGGATATGGGGAATCCTGGGACAGTTCCACGATCCATGACACCTCAACAAGCATCGACACTTCGTATACCACTATCTTGTTTAACACGCATACCAGAATTAAAGGTGCTTGGATTAATCTTTTCATATTTCTACAATATTGAATCTGTTTTCAGTTTGAATTTCCCACCATGACATACGACTAAAATTCATAATGTTGTAGGAAAATCCGTTTAGACAACGAATTTCAGAGGTATTTACGAATTGCAAAAATTCGAGTCAATTAACACACGATGGATCAAACGAAGGAATTTGTTTTGAGGAATTCCTTGACATGATGTCAGTTTTTTCGGAGCAGGCACCACGGGATTTGAAAGTCTTTTATGCTTTTAAGATTTATGGTATGAACCGCAATCTAAATCAACAAGTAGGATCAATCGTAAGAATTCATATTTATAGCTATTGAATCAGAAATATATACTATATCTAGACACGACATTCGTATTATACGAAAGAATTACTTTGTATTTGTAGAAGGATTATCGATTTTCTCGTGAATACTTATAATGAATTATAATTATATATTGTAATTCAATTAGTTCAAATGAGTTTCAATTGAATTTAATTTGATTATTATTTATTTTTGAATTTTGATGACATTTCATAATTTTTTGTGAATAGATTTTGACGAAGATGGAGTATTGGGGATGAGCGATTTAGAATGTACATGTCGACAATTGGTTCAAGATGGTTTGAATACCGATGAAGTGGCTACTGTATGTCGAAAAATTTTGGAGGAAAGCGACATTGATGGCGATGGTGTTTTATCTTACCTAGAATTCGAACATGTCGTAACAAGGGCCTCAGATTTCATGGCGAATTTTCATATAAGAATTTAATTCTTATTGCTTTCGAAAATAAAAAATAAAATTTACTGCCAGTTAATGAAAATTCACATCTATTTGCTCTTTTTATTTTTATTTTACATATTGTTGTATATATAACATTACATTCTTTTATTCGTGAATTTCAGATCAAGAGATATTCGGCATATTTGGAAAACGAATCATATATCTTTGATATTTTATGCGTTACATGTATTTTAAGTAATAAGTAATAAGTTTTGCAAACTCATGAAGGATAATTATTAACTCCATGAATCTATACAAGCTTAGTGAAGCGCTAACATATAGTTTCTTGCGAGTAACAGATATACTTTCTTATATGGCTCCATAAGTCGCCCCTGTTGAGCAATAACGAGCAATGCTGACTAAATAACCAGGCCATTCATTTTCACTTCAGACAGAAACCTCCTATAAGTTTGCAAGTCGAGTCTCCAATAACATCTTTTATACGAAGATAATCAAGATTATTACGTTATTCGTGGGACATCAATTCTGAGAATCAAAAATTATTAAATTATAAGTAATTTAATTTTGCATTAGATAAAGATAGAAAGCGACGAAGAGCAATTTCATTATATTTATATCTCATTTCATTTAACGCAATTAAATTGTTTATAATTCAATAAACGAGCCATAATTATTCTTATATTTTTGTTCCTATTCTGATCTAATTTAAAAATGTCCCACGATTATATATTTATATCCTGTAACGAAAAATCAACGAGGAAAAAATCAAGGAAGAACTTATGCAATAAAATTTGATTTATTTTAAACGTTTTGTTTTAAGATCAAGATTTAAAAAAAAATAATTGAAAAATTATTATTTTATCACGTTAACGAGTAATTTCGTATTTCTAAGAAAAATATTGCAAATCAGAGGAAATTAATAATGATACGTTCATGTTTAAACGAAGAAGAAAAAGGAAGTAAGGAAAGACTATGATTATTGTGCGTCATTCTAAATATAATGTACAGAAAGAAATACACTATGCACCATTTTCAGCAAAGATGATGATTGTTTTGCACGGTATGATCCATGGTTTAGGGGTTAGTTTTGTATCTGTAATATGTTACATGGTATCGCGGTTGTTTTAAAAAGCGGTCGAAGTCGAAGATACCGCCCTGTGTGTTACGAAGTTCTCGACCAGTTATAGTCGGCCGCACAGTAACTAACCAAGTCTTGGGACCAAGGCCATCCGGTCACTTCTCATCCTTCTCTCTTCCCCGCTTGCATCCCTGCCGTTCTTCTTGCTGACTTGTCCAGAGGCCCTCGGGGTCCGAGAAAGCCCCCTTGCCTCTTGAGTCCACCGTCGACACCCTCTGCGCATGAGCCCCCTTCCTCACCTCCTCAACTCATTCCTCGCTTCTGCGGTCTCTCTCAGCGGAGGATCACCGCTCTCGGGAGAGTCTCCCCCTTAAACATCTTAGCCGACCAACCACCTTCCATGCCAAGGTATCCGTATTATATTCTTGGGCCTCGTCGATGCTGTGCGACGCTATGCGACGCGACGCAATGCATTACGACGAGTGGAACGATCGAACGTTTCCGTCGTTTGGCGTATTTGAGCGCAAGCACGAGGAGGACGAAGAGATCCGTGGTAAAAGCGAGATAAAAAGTCAATGAACAGAGGAACGAGAAGGCAAAGATCGCAGGTGGTGAGAGCAAACGACGGCAAGAGGGAGAACAAGGAGATGAAAGAGAAGTTAAGAGGAGTGATGGAAGAAGAGGGGAAGTATGATAGCGGCGAAGGTGGTTGGCGGAGGGCAGATTCGTACCAAACTTTTACAACACCCTACGTGGGCGAGTTCTCTCGAACCTTCCTCGGGACCTCGACCCCACGATCGCACAGCGACATTGTTCGTTCGAAATATTTATACTTTCACGGTTCCGGGATACATCGATGCCCGATTCGATATTTGTTAAAATGATCGAAGTTAACACCATTTATTGATAAAAATAAGTTGGAATTTGAATTGAAGAGAAATATTTTTTAAACGAAAAAAAAAAAAAATCATATCGTATCTTTTTCGATTGTTTAATCACGAAATCCGATTTTAAACGGAAGATAAAATTTAAAATATGATTTGATAATATCGCGTAAAAATATATATATATATTATTACAACACGAATGACTAATAGGCATAGAATGAGAAAATGAAGCAATCGAGGCGAGAAAAATCATGACACGAACAAATCGAATCGAATTGAATAGGTAAAAATGAGGAACGTCACGTTACTTGTGTTTTTTTGAGAATAACAAAAGAAGTTTCTGAGAAGCGGTGTGAGCAAACATGCAGTATGCGCGTTAAACTCGACCTTTGAGGTTTTCTTCCCAGTAACGTTTCACTCTGTGAAAGCAGATACCTATGCATTGCTCTCTGACAAGGTTGCGTCGAGTCGACCGCTGTCTAGTCGAAATAATATTGGCGGTCTTGTGGGCACATATCGTAGTGGTGCATAAGAAGGCGAGAGCTTGTATATAGAGAACCGTCTACTAAAGAGGGGGAGGAAGGGTTCCAAGGAGCCGGTTGGCCAACGGAATGTGGCTTGACCGGCCAACCATCCCCCGCCTCCTCTACCATGGATTCATCGAGAATAAGAGAGAAAGAAGGACAGTCGGATAGAGGACTGGCCCAACTACCTTTGGATCCTAATGGGCCCCATTGGGGTGCTCGAATATTCTTTCGCTATCTTCGGACATCTTCGCCGTGAGATTTGTAATCGAGGCGAGCACCGTTTTTTTGACATTCCCTCAAGTACCTGCTGCTCCTTAATTTTCGATGTCCACTGGTTGTACGAATTAAAAAACCAACCAGTATCCATTTCATTCCTTGCTGATCCATTCTCGAGGAACGAATCGTGATCTATTTACGCGCCAATGCAATTTATGCATTTGAACGTTCGATTAGGCAAGTCTGGCAGACATGAGTCGCCGGTGTATATATATATATATATATATTATCACGAATCTATCTTCTGATTCTGTTGCAATCGTCTAAGGCAATTGCAACCGCTCGATTATTTCCTTTATATGGGCAACAAGCTGATAAAAATGCTCGCAAAACTGTGAGGCCATCCATTGACAATACGACGATAGTTCCTCTAAGAAGATACATAACCAATGCATGCGCAATCTTCCCGTATGTTGGACCCCGTTCCGCATAAATGATTCACCGTTCTCTACCAACGTTTGCCAGGAATCGTACGCGCTCTATTATCCGGCAAAGTTTCGCAATACACGTATAATTATATTCTACGTATTCTATGTATTCCCAGGCTTGCCCTCGCGCCAATCATATCCTCCAATTTACTTTCGCGATCGTCGTTCCTCCGATTTAATATCTCATTTTTGTTTAAAGTTCGAAATGGTGAACCGGTATAGGTATAACCGATCTGAGTAAAACTTCATGACGGTACTCATGAAGAAGTTTCGCAACTCGTTGTGTCCGGTGGATCAGCTTTCCGCTCAAGTACCACCTAAATTTATTCCACGAACGTTTCGCGCATTCGAAAACCTTCGCATTGTCCATGGAATATTATGTGATTTCCACGTTTTTTGGCAAATAAACGCGTGACTTTTACCGATTTAAAATAAGCGAGAATAAAAAACGAAGAGAGAGAGAGAGAGAGAGAGAGAGAGAAAAAAGAAAAAGAAAGGACAAGTATAAATATAAAATATAAAATAACCTAAACTATATAATTTGCGAAACAAGAAAAACTTTTTAACTTGTTAATATAGCTGAAAGATGACGTAACTTTGTTTTGCGGCGGGAGATACACGTTACTAGCTATTCAAAGTTTTCTTCGAATTTCGGTGAAAAGATGCATCGTTATCCTCTTTCTTTCCTCTTGTTTGCAAAGACGTAATCGTCGCGAGCAGCACGCCTTACTTTGTAAGCAACCGTGACAAGTGTAGACAGCCGCGGCAATTATTTGCACAATAACTCACGTTCTTAATATCAACAAATAAACTTCACACATGCGAGGCATCAGTTTTTAATTTTTTAATTCTTTCTCTTTATCGAAATCTTTTTCTTATTTTTTCAACCGGTTTTTCCTTGATTCTCCGCTTGATTCTCCCAACGATCGACGTCCAAGTATCGTCTAAAATATTTTTCGTAATTTAATTCGTGATAGATATATATTCGCAAAAAGAAACAAAAAAAACTCGAATTATACGCGTGATATAACTACTTGAAAGTTCTCATAGATATTGTTATCGATGTAAATGCTCTTAGTCACTTGAGAGGTTACGAAATGGAGGACTGGTAACGTTGTCGCTCGTCGTGATAATTCAGCTTGACTTTTGCGTCGGTCAAATCGAAAGCAATGAATTATCCGCAACTACTTAAAAGGGATCTGTTACATCGAATAATTACGATCTTCGTGACATTATAGCGTGCTATAATGTCGTCCCAGGACCTAGTTTGTTAAAGGAGACGCTTATCGATACTCGATGGTTCGCGAAAAAATTTGTCTCATTAATATGTTAAGAAAACATATTTTCCATATTATGATTATCGACAATATCTTTTTGTATTTCTTTCGAATCGATACGAAATTTTCAACACGATCGTTTCATAGCGATACGATATAATGAGTTGTAGAAATGTACTTTTTTAACTATAGACGTTTCTTACTTATCTCGTCCAATTACGATTTCTTTCGAAGGAATATTTGAAAAGTAATAGGTTCGAAAGAAGAAGATTGGAACAGTCGTGTCGATTTTAACGAGGTACCGCAAACAGGTACGGGTGATCGTAGATGGCGGCGATTTAATCGCAGTTCTTTCAACTGCGAAGTTGATTTGCGATCAACGAAGCTATTGTGTTCCCCAAAAAGGATCTGTCGCACCTGAAAATAGTGCCAACGGAATAACTCTTTCTGCTGCTTATTATTTGCCTCGTTAAAATTGTTGAAATATCGATGAAAAATAGTAATTCAAATTTAAAATGCGATGAAATTAAAAAGAAAAGAAAAGAGCATTGACAAGAGAAAAATTACGATCGATTAATAACCGCGTAATTCCTTAATCACGTTGATCTTGGACGGGACGGATCGATCGATTGGAATTCTTTATTTTCAACTTCGGAGTTGGCTTACCAGCTATCAAGCGAAATACCTGTTTGAGGGAAAAAATCCGTCTGTAAATAACTTCGAGAAAGCTGTGCAATCTTCGTTCATACCATAGTACCTTAACTGTTTTAACGGCTGCGAAGAAGTTCAGACGGAGCGAAACAGCGAAGGGCAAGCAGAAAAATCGAGAAAAAGGGACGAACGAGCGTAGGTATATCCGGATGATCGTGTGTAAAGGCAAAGGCAACATTGCTTGTCGTGAGATAGAGACGGAAAGTACAACGACGGCTTAACATATAAGTGGCGAACAAGGAGGGAACAGAGACGAAGAGAAAAGATGCGAGGAAAGGGGAAAGAAGAAGTGGATGACAACGAAGGATGAAGATGACTATGATGATAACGACGATGATAATGATAATGACGATGATGATGAGGAAAAGAAGGAAGAGGAGAAAGAAGAAGAAGAAGAACAGAAGAAGAAGAAGAAGATGATGATGATGATGAAGAAGAATAAGATGAGATTTTCTGTTGGAGGGTTTGCCGAGGGGGTCCAGACCAAGCTCCATCTGCATAACCGGTATATACCGGCAATGTAGACTGGCATGAAGGTAGAATCGAGCATGTCCTCGGCACGTTATATCGCTCCCCTCGTCCTCGTACGATACGAAGTGTAGAGAGACCTCGAGCCAGTGGATAGAAGAGAAGCGAAAGGTACAGCTAAGAAGAGAAGCGAAAAGGGGAATCGGTAGTGGAGGTTGGGTCTTCGTGTAGAGTGGCTCCAAGAACGAGCACACGCGGTATCCCTGCCAGTGAAACTGGTAGAGAGAAAAGCGTAGGCGCGAGTATCCGCCGACCGATGACATCATCGGTGTTCTGCCTCGAGTCATTCTCTCGGCAGAAGCTTCTCTTTACTCTCGAAACTTTTTGGCGAACTCTCCTACTCGGAACGATCTCGATTTTTCTTCAAACGTATGGGCATTTCCGTTCGCCGTCAGTACGGACGAGATAATTAGATTCTCCCCTTCTCGATCTTTTCCATTCTTTTTAATTCGGACTATCAACCGACGATATTATCCAAGTCTCTTCAAAAATTTCTTTTTGTCCCCTTCAACATCCTGGAAAAATGCGAACAAATTAAATTATGCGAAATTATGCGAAAAAATTATAATACCAAGAGTCGCAATACGATTGTAAAACGTACCTTAACTTATCTTGTCGTTCGGAGACTTCAACACTTCCAGACCCGCAATCGCAATGTCGATTTCTCGACAACGCCATATACTTTTAATCCGCTTCGAATTCATTTTTAACGAATAAAATTCTTTTCTTTTTTTTTTTCGACCAAATGTAATAATTATAATACAAAATATCTCTTCTCTTCGTTCCTTATATGAAAACATCAACTCAATCGTATCGTAGAATCCGATCGGGTACAACAGTTTTTCGAAGATCGTTAACTTGAACAGAATGAAGCTGTTAACCTGGCGAATTAGCCTTTCAGATTCCTAATCGTATGGAAATGTGAAACGGTATCGCTTAGAAAACGTTAGACTAAATTCTCTCGTGAAACTATCAACACGTTTATTCGTTCTGTTCCGCGATCTCTTTTTTCGTGTCCTCTGCAACGAAACAGGTTTAAAAGGCTCGTCGATCGCATCGAGGATACATTTCCACACATGTTTACGGTATGAGAGTGTCAAAAGTTTACCGGGGCGGGAAACGTTGATTGGGGAGAAAGATTGGGGAAAACAAATGGTTTCAAGAAGTTTCTTCAGCTTTTGCGTAAAACATATAACGAATGGAACGATTCTGCAAAACTAAAAGACAGAATTTTGCGTTATTATTATAGAAAACTATCATAGAAATTTCAAGCACCATTTCGTAACGAAGAATACGCAATTTTTGAAATCGACTTCGTCGCCTTCGATATTTCAACCGTATATTTTACCGATCTGATCTGCAAGCTTCGATCGGATAAGGCTTCGTAAAAACTTTGTGCACAGTACACGATGGTATTACCCAATGAACACATACACGAGGAAACACGAGAATACGAAATATTCGTGAAGGAAATCGGCACGGAGAAAAGCAGCAATCTCTATAAGAAAACGCGGGAGCGTTGGAAATCTCTCAAACTCGAAACCTGTGCCGGGACGGTCACGAATAAGGGGCGAGACATCCATAAACTTACTTTAGACCTCGGGGCTCACGGGGGTTCTGGGTAGGTTTTTCTTTTTACCGGGCCAGGCAGGTGCGAACCGATTTCTATAGTCTTCTCCCGGTAACGGCCGTCTTTCGTGCCAACGGTCCAAGTTTTACGGCGGCTTCCGTTGAACAAATCTTGTCATGTCCAATCAAGGAAAAACGCTTTCATTCTTGGTTCAATCGATGGTTTTACATTTATTTTTTTTTTTTTTTTTTTTTGCGTCGTTTTATAACAAAATAGAAACGGTTAATCGAAAGTGAATCAAATGCAGAGACATCTCGTAAACGTAAAGGATGTCTCTCCTCTCCTTTTTTTCTTTGTTACAACTACAATTTCGTGAACTGTACACCTAATCGATTAACGGCTTTGCGCTATTCAAATTGCTTTCGTTGCGCGTGACCATCGCATTTTAAATTGTCTCACAGTCTTCCGCGTAATCGTAACGAATGCGAATGAGAACCTCGATTTTCGCTGCCTCTCTTTTGTTTTCGAAATGTGTCTCATCGCGAGAAATTTTTGCACATGGTAACATCTCTCGTATGTTGGGAATTACTATTAAAAAGAAATCATTTAAAGTCTTTGTCTATTTTATTGTATCTTAAAATGATTGATCTTGAAATAATTGGTTTAAGTGATAAAAAAAAAATCAGGTGCATGCAAGAACAACGATAGGAACGCCGGTGCGGAGCAAGGACGGTGTACATCCGGCGGAAGTCGAAGGGCGTCAGCTCGTGACGCCAACGCTTGTACGCAGGACTGAATTAGCTTTGTACCTGGACAGACGCAGGTGAGTTACCAGAACAGGGATATAACAGTACCGATCCTTTCGAAGGATCTTTCTTCGAAACGAACAATAAAAATCGTCCTTGACCGACCACGGTTAAGGTTCAGAATCAAGCGAGGAAATTCCTTGCGAGGAATCATGATAAATTAGATTTTCCATTTCCGTTTAAGCAAATCGTGCAAAACTTATTCGTTATTCCCGTTGTTTCAGATGTATATTCAAATGTAATTTAACCAAAGTTGATCACGATTTTTCTCATCGATCTTCATCGCACACGTACGAATTGATAAAGAAAAAAAGGAAAGATATATATTCTTCTCCGAGTAAATTTGTAATACCAGTCGCACAAACCGATATCGAATTCGACCTTCGAGGTCCTGGCACTCAGGGCAAACCGATACGCATGCAAAATTTCATTCACGTGAGCGTCACGTACGGCTTTACGTTGCAATAACATTCCGAGAATAAGTTGGGGTCCGAAAGTTCGCCGGTTCTTTGTTTCTTGATGTTTTAACGGAATAGGGAACGAATTTACTTTTGAAAAAAGAAAGACTATCCCCTCCCTAATTCGCGTTTTGAATCACCGACGACTTAAAAACGTCGTTTGGTCTTGTTGAACGGAGAAGTCGGAACGTAAATTAAGAAACCACACCCGCGAGTATAAAGATCCGGTTTTTAATATGCGCAACCAACCATTTTGACGAGATATAACTGAATTATTTTCGAGAATCACAAAATATTAATCGTTTCGAAGATCGATATATTGTTGAACCAACATTGAAATTGCGATTGTACATCACTTGTTCGTGCACATGCCTTCCGTCACGGCGCTGCCTTTCCCACAAACTGAAAATGGATGACACGTGTAGTCGAGGAACTTCCCAGGACGTACTTTCAGACAGCGGAACCGATTCTACGTCGTTCAAAGAGGCGTATCTTTAGGGTGCATAAATGCGTTTGAACATAAAAAACGTTTCATCGAAAGAAATTAAGTTAAAAGAGAAATTTTTTTTCTCCAATTAATTATTTCTTAAGATTACTTTCAACGGGGCCTTGATATAACTAAACAGCAGCGTAAAAAAAAAAAAAAGAAAAAAAAAAAAAAGAGGAATTGATTTCGAATAACACGTATCGAGCTATGGCTGGAATTAGCCATCGTTTTCGTGGCACGCCACGCTTAATGTGCAATTTAAACTCGAATTTGAAAATATACAATTTTACATTTCGTGTCACGTACCGCTAATTAGCAAGGCATGCGGATGGCGACGAGTAGACGTTTTAAATCGCAATTTTTCTGTTGTAGAACATGGTTCAATTATCAGACAATTATCAGACAATTATCAGACGAATATCACATCCTGAAACGGATTACTAATTCCTTCATTCATTCGAGAAGGAATTCGACAGATGAGAACATCAAGTTTAATAATCTAACGTATGTACGCGTGCGCGCATGTATTCGCATTTATGTATTCGAAATAAAAGAATAATATCTTATTACGAAATTCGACGAGGAATCGAGAAAAAGTGCTATCGTCGAGGCACGCATGAAATTCCCACGCAAGGTCTATCAAAGAGTATTCTTCCCCACGAATTTTCGTGTCCCGTCGCTAATACATTCGACAAGGATCATCGAGTAATCTTCTCAGGTGAATACGCAATGAAGAAAATCGAATCGACTTCTTCTCCTATATATCTGTAATTAAAATTAGAATCAGAGTCAAGGTGTATCCATGGAAGTTAAGTCAGTATAGCAAAGATTGGATTCGTTTGGTTGCCAAAGAGAGGTGCAAAGCCGAGAAGCCCGACGAGGATATTCGAGAAGGGGCGAGAAGAAGGAGAAGAAGAAGAAGGAGAAGAAGAAGAAGAAGAAGAAGAAGAAGAAGAAGAAGAAAAAGGTAGTTTGGGTATTCGAGAAATATTCGACTCGTCGGCGATCATTGTGGTGACGTCGTGAATTCTTCGAAAAACGAGAGGACAGACCGGCTACGTAGAGGTACATACGAGGCCGAGCCTTCACCTCGATCGCGCGAGGTGTACGCGACGCGCACGTATGTATAGGTAAACGTACGTAGACAGGTACGCGAGCGAAACGATCGGTGAGAGAGGAGAGAAGAGAAGAGAAGAGAAAAAGAAGACAGAAGAAAGAAAAAGAGGGACAAGACGAGACGAGACACGTGGAATCGTGCAAAACGCAGAAGAGAGAACAGGAGGAAGATGAGAAACGGAGAAGGAGAGGATGTGAAAGGGAAGAGAAAAAGAAGGCTGAGAAGGAGGGAAAAGGAGGAGGCGCGAGAGATCGGTAGAGGGGTCATTGGTTGTTCGTTGCGCACTCTCAACGTATGGGAATCGTTATGGACCGACTATAGTCGTTGGAATGCGTCCTTTTTTCCTTTTTCTGTCTCCCCATATACCTGGCGGGCTACTCTCGCTTCGTTGTGGCGACGACGTTGGCGGTGGCGGTGGCGATGGCGGTGGCTGTGGCGGTGGCGGCAACCACCGCGGCAAACCTCTTGCGGACAATCTCGTTGGCTGGCGACCGGTACAGCCGCGACCGACCAAGAGGAAAGGAACCACGATTCGACTTAACGGATCTGCGCTGCCTACGAACATTGCAAGTCACCAACGCGCTGTATAGGTAACCGACAGCCATTGTTAACGGGAAAAGAAAGCTTTTCGCATTAGAAAAGAAGAAGTGAAAATAGAAACTGGAGCTTCTTATTGACAGGAAAGAAGAAAAAGAAGAAGAAGAAGAAGAGAAGAAGAGGGCGATGTAATCCTGAACAAAACTTTATCTTTGAAAAATCTGCAAAGATCGTTAAGGAGAGAATATAAAAAGAAAAGTTTACGGGTCAACGGTTATAAAACGGAAGAAACAAAAGGGGAATATACGAGACGTCGTGTGGAAAGATCGCGAACTCGCAGCAAGAGCCAGAAGAGCGTTCGAGAACAAGGAGAACGAGATGCCGGCGTGAGGAAAAGGTAGACGAGGCAACGCGATAAAGAACGAATCAACCAGGTAGAAGGACAGGGATGCCGCGGTAATGCTCCAAGAGAGCCGGCCAAACGAGAAGACCGACCAAAGAAGGGAAGAGAGAGGGAGGGACAGAGAAGAAGAGAACGATAGAAAACGGACATAGGTAGGAGGACAGGTAGTCGGGGAAAGAAGACCAAGTGAAGAGTATAGGGGAGAGAAGATACAAGAGAAAAGAGTGGATCCACGAAGGGGAACAGCACGGCAAGGAACGGAATGGAGCGGTGTAGAAAGTAAGAGAGGGGAGAGGAGAGGAAAGAAGAAAAGAGAGAGACTCGTTCCTCTCGTATATATGTCGGCAGTTCGGTTCGGTGACGTCACGATGTCGATTTGAACGGACCAATGGGCATTCGAAACGAAGCTGAAGAGGTAAAGAGGATATGGAGGGGACTGGAGGGTGGAAGAGGGCCGAAGGGGCCCCGAGGGGGCCAAGGAGCTCCAGGTTCCGGAGTTCGAGGGGGAAGGGGTAACGCGAAAGGTGCGTGCGGCCCCAGACGTGGGGCGCGGGGCCAGTTGATCAGTGAGTGCGGTAGTGATCTCATCTTGTACCGCGCCAGGTGTGACTCCTCTCTTTCCTCTTCTTTCGATACGAGTCTATGTGCCCTTGGTAAGACGGAGCAAGCAGTAGCGGACTTAAAATTCACGTATCGGTTCGGGCCGTGTCCTCAACTCGAACAACAGGTATGCTCTTCTCTCTTTTCCATTAAAAAAACACATTCTCGCGCCATTGATCCAAATATTATTCGATACGATCTTGCGATCTGTTTAATATATCATAAGTTATAATAAAAATTAAATTAAATTAACAAAGAAAAGAAAGATTATTTAAGTAAAGATAACAATTTCTCTACTTACGAATATGAAGACTTAACTGTTAGGATTCATTGCTTTTGAATAAAATAAATAAAATTCTGTTGATTCTCGGTAAACGTGACTGACAAGGTCGAGGCAAATGTTGCCGCGTTTGCATTCTTGTCTAGTCAGCTATTCATTTCTTTCTTCAATCGTCATCTTTCTCGGCTCGAACGGTATTGTGATTCCTCTTTCCTCTCTTTTCTTTTTCTTAAGATATTGCAATTTAAAATCGAAAAATCTTCTCGATTCCACATTTACGGCCAATGTTTTTTCTTACTCAGTTCTTTGCGCTTGTCTGAGTCGAGTCTACTACTTGCCGATTCGCACCGTTTCGCGTGCGAATTTCCTCAGGCCTCTTAGCAACAGGTTGTATCTGACTACCATGGAAAAATGATAGTCGTTCGAACGCTTTTGTTCGTTCTATTCTTCCATGCCAAAATATTCTCCGATGTTTCTAATATCATCTTTTCTTTTCAAATTTCCTACGACCAAATATTAGAAAATTACAATCGATAATAACGTCTACTGCTTCTAATTAAAATGAAATTCGTTTTCAAATTTTTTATTTACTAGTAATTTAATAGTTAACAATGATTTTTGAACTTCGTGTCAAGTAAATAAGACTTTTCTCAATAATCAATTTACGTTTACATTTGTTTTTATTTTTAAACTGATGTTAGTTTGAGAACACAATGATTTTGACCGTTAATATATATATATATATATATATATATATAAAATCAATTATAGCATTTAAAGATTTCAAATATGATTTAAAATATACGATAAAGTTTTGGCTTGATTAGTCGTTTTCTTTTTATTTCAAGAAAAAAAGAAGGACAAAAAATTCCTCAATTCTCACAAACATAACTCGAGTTTATTTCCATGAACTTGTTTGAATTTTTCTCACTAAAGAGCAAAAAATTGTCTTTTCTGCGTCACAGCTTCGACGAAGATCGGCGGCGCGGTAGCGATATAGCATTGCGGAAGCCTGTATCGCGAACGATCTTCAACGTGCCGGCGAATGCATTCAAGATTTGCACGGTAGAGCGAGCGACTGAGAAATAAAACGCACATATGCATACCTATGTTTGACTGCACCGCGTGTATGGTATCGAGCCGTGAATCCTCCGTTGAGAATGACACCGATTAAGCGGTCCAAGTGTCGTCGAACAGCCATAATTCGAATATATCGGGATATTAGATTGAAAACTAAAATTCTTTTCTTGGTTGTTTTTTTCTCCTGGTAAAAAATTTTACATTATATTAAAACATCTACGCATTTCGCGATCATAAATTAATTTGCAAGTTAAAGCGTTTTGTTTGTAAAGTAAATAATGAGACAAATATCGCTTTACCGTAATCGTTTCCTTCCATCGTTTAAACATTTATATGAAAATCTCACTTTTCGTTTATATTCTGTTGTTTATATTCTATTTTTTGCTTCATCGACAATTCGAATTTAATTAATTGCGCTATTTTCTTATGTTTGTTGTTGAATATACTTGAATATTTACATTTTTTTTTTTTTAACTTTAACTTTTCGAATTCGAATTTTTAAATCTTAAACATTTAAAATTCAAATTTTTCAAATTTCTAATAGATACATTCTCTCGAACAATCAACGAATTAATTTGCTTTCCAGATGACCGAAACTTGCTGGTTGAAAGAAGCGATAACAAGAACGCAAATAAGGGGAAACTAATTTTCGTGATGCTGTGACAATGAGATGAGAAAAAGGACGGTGAAGATATTTCAAGAAATAATGAAAAAAAAAAAAAAAGACCCGCGAAACCGTAGAGAGAGGGGGGAGGGAGGGGGCCAGTCTTCTTTTTCGCGCCTTTCGATCTGTTTTTCAGCGCGGTCAGGAAAATTAAATCAAGCTCGATAACTACACTTGAAGTGATAATGACTATAAGTGAAGCGACATTAGCCCCGGCTATCTCGAGTACTCGTACAGCTGTGTTTGCGTAAACGATTGGAAGTCGCATTGAAAGCGCCTGTCTCGTTAGGAAACAAATTTACCACTGGGTACAGATTCAACGTTATTAACGTCTTAACGTCTCGCGATTTTCCATTGGAGGGGTAAGTTGGTGATTTGGAAGACGCGCGTGTCGACGCGGATAACCACGAACCACGGATCCCTGATCGTTGCGCAACAAACTTAAGGAACGCAGCAGAAAAGTTGTCGATAAAACGTACGGTCAATAAGGCGTATCGTGCAAAGACCCTGCAATGGCTCGACTGGACACGGGACTGTTAATTAAATCGTAAACTGTTAATTAGACCGTTAAACCGACTAGCCTTGGAATACGATGCCTAAAATAGCTTTTCGCCTCCAACAATTATTGCCGATTTTTATTAGAAATCTGTGCTATCAAATTATCCGCGCTCTTTCGATCTTTGGAACGAATTATATGATCTTTTTTTTCTCGTATTTCGCAAAAGTTTTTTTTTTTTTTTATCGCTTTTCATGGGAGAGAATGCACGATAATAATAATATAGTTCAGCTGTACCAACCGTGACAAACAAATGGAAAGAATCGAAGGCCGGCTTATCATGAAAGATAGGTACTCACTCGTATTTGCTATAGGTACGTGACGATGGACTTCGCAACTTGGATAAGCTATTCTCTAATAATGAACTAGACTAGAGTTCTCAGTTGCTTTTGTCGCTATACCAGCTTTCAATGGAGGGAAAAAAAAAATAAAGAAAATTAAGTTTTAGAAAGTCGGGGATTATTGTTGAATCGAGGTTAAATCTTTCTGGTCAGCCTTCCTGTTACGTCCGATATGAGAGCGGGCCAAAAATAAACCGGCAGTTTCGCAGGTGAGTGTGCCACGGTTTCTTTTCTTTTTTTCTTTGTTTTTTTTTTTTTTTGTTTTGATCTTTTACTCCTCTCTTATATAGGATCTTTTGTACTTTCATTCTTACACGTGTAAGGAGAAATTCATGGATCGTTTCTTCTAAATGCGATAATCATTATCCAATTTTAAATATATTCATCGTTAGAGATTCGATTATTAAATCATATTTTTATATTCTCAAGAATTATGGATCAACGAACGAACAGATAAAACTCGCGTAACAATCTCTTAAGTTATCTCTTGCGAAATTCGATAACGTTCCTAAAACTGGCGTATTTTACTGCATATCAGATTCGATAAACGTGTTATTTAAATATAAAATTTCTGCCAAATGTGTCCGGTTTCCATATTTTGCAGCTTCTTGAAAAATTTATAACATTTCTGCTTCAAGATCATACGCGTATTTAATATCGAGATTGAAGAATTAAGCAGATAAAGAAATTGGAAGAAGCACGGAAAGCGTTGAACAACTTGATAAAATAGAACCCAGCCACGCGTGCACTGCAGCGTGAGATCATAACTTTCTCCAAATGGAAGTTCTTACGAAACATCGTAGTGGTCTACTAACGGATTGACCGAAGTAAAAGCATTGGATATTACAATCTTTAATCTATAATCAGAAAATTTTAAATAAATTTCTTTATTTTAAAAGATATTACGACTCGAATAAAATTTAATCCGTGTTGATAAGTTGTCTGAAATTTTATTAATATCTGAAGCTGTTTTGATTGTTGCACGTATTAGTAGCTATTTAATCAATTTGAGCAAAACACTAGTTACATTTTACGCGATTTAAACGTGACATTCTCAGAATTTGAAATTTATCTTTGGACACGTACACGCAGTTTTAAATCGTAATTTTTATTAAAATCGCGAATCAGTTAGACGAAAATGGCAACTAGGAAACTGAATGATATCGCAAGATACGTGTTTGAGTCAAAGTAATTATGACGTAACGACATAATATCTTGCGCGTTGTACGATTCAGCAAAACCGTATCGCCTCGTTTCATCATATTATTAAATTTACATTTTAGTTCAAGTAAGACACTTAATCAAAAATTGTTACCATATGCCTACCGTTTTCTCTGCATTCGATTTTATTTCTCATATCGTACTTTTAGAATGACTTTGGCCTGGTAACGAGAGAAGAATTTTCAGATATACACTCGTAGCCTCTGGCTATCCCGAAGGCCCGTCTCACCGACTAACTTTCACTCCGAAATGTCAACGGTTGTGTTTCACTTTTCAAAGCTGTGCGCGTATCAATCAATTCGTGGTTACGCGACAAAGAGACGATTGTTGTAAAGCGGTTTCCGATTTCTCCGTCTTTCTGTTACAGAGTGGGGACACCATCGACACGTGCATGTCATTATCTGCACCAGGAAATAGTGACTCGATCAAGAGACATTCTCGTATAAAAGGCGTTAACGATTGATCCATGTCTACCGATATTTGCAGTATCAAGAAAGATTCGATATTGCTAAATGGCAAAGCAGGTTTTCAATTCTCGACGATTTCATTGATTTAGATGATCAATTTTCATCGAAATTATTTTTTTATTTATTTAAGACAACAAGAAGATCTTGGCGCGGACATTTTCTTTGGTTATCTAGCTGTATGAGTATTATTCGACATCATAAAGCTAGGTTACCGGAGTTAAGCTCCTCGCCATATCAACTTCAACGATTTTTTTTTGATTTTTCGACTAAATTGATTATTTACAAATTGATGAATCTAAAAAATAAATGCCAATATTTATGTATATATTATATTATAAATAATTTGTTATATTATAAATAAATATAAATTTTGATAAAAATAAATAAAAAGAATTTTTTAAAAATCTTTCAAATTTCTAAGAATTAATTATATCAATGAAAAAAAATTTTTCTGTAGAATTAACAAGCGTTACATTGGAGTTACATTGAATATAAAAAAAAGAATACATCTAACATGCTTCAAAGATTTTTGTATTCATTCTGCATGAAAATCTACGGGTTAGGCATTTGTAATTACTAGTAGTGTCATTGCCACGTGACTCGATTACCTATTAAGAACATTTCAGAATTTTCAAGCTATTCCAATTGATTTCGTATGTAATCATATTTCGTATTCTTAGAAATTTTCTATTAACTTTTATATGGTCTTGTCAATTATTTTATCTTAAAATAAATTTAAATTATAAATAAATAAAAAGCAATAATGTTTCTTTTTTATAAATTGTAAAATTAAAAAATATTTTAATAAAATAATTTTTATATTTCAGAAATTAAAATAAGAAGAAAAATTAAGATAATAATTGTAAACAAAAATATATTATAGTTTATCTAAGAAAACTATAATACCAAGTACATGTTTAATAAGATTTAAATTCCATTTCAAATAACGATAAGAAATAAAATTGTAATAAACTATGCAATGGGGGCGCCACATACCGATATATATATATATATAAAGAAATATGATTATATACCGACTGGATTCTCGAAGTTTTTACAAAACTTTTTTTTTTTTCAATTACTAATTTATTTACTTACGACTTTTAATTTTTTTTTTTTTTAATTTCAATTAATGAATTATAATATTAAAAAGATATATATAAAAAAATTTATATATATACATATATTTTTTTTCTATATGTAATGCTTCCTATTTCCGATAATTTATTAATTTATTAATTAATAATGCATTTCTTATTTTTTTAACTACAATAAATATATATGATTCATTATACAAATAATTTTCTCTTAAAACTATAGAAATAAAAACTAAATTAAAATAATAAGAACGAATCAACTTTAGAAATCATACTCATTTATACATAAATTATATTAATAATATATTTTTAAAACATTAAAAATTTTTAACATAATGGAATTTCGCTTAAATATATATAAAAAGAAAATATTTGAAAAGAATCAAAAGCTAAAAATAATATAATATGATGAGAAGAATATAATATGATGAGAAGAAAATTTTTGCCGCGTAATATCGAACACATGGTTCGATAATATTTGACGATATAATGGTCAATAATTTCTATTTAATATAATCATAAATAATACATTTTAAATTTACATACCAACTGATGATATTCATTGATAGATATGATTAACGAACAAAAAGAGTTAAGATAAAAATTATTTATTCACTTGTCATAAAAATTTTGATATTATTTGCTTCCTTGACTTATAAAACTAAATGCCGGAAGTATCACATTAAAGTGAAAAAGAAAATCAAATCAATTTCCATTATTTAATAACAAATATCTATATATTTTAAAAAAAATTATGCATTTTTATTTTATATAGATAAACAATATTGAAAATATAGATAAAAAATATTTACTAATTAAAAATTATCGAGATGAATTTAAATTTTCCCGGATATGAGGTATCCAAAGAGATAAAAATGTTCTAGAACATTCTAGAACATTCTAGAATTTTAGTGAGTATATAAAAGCAAACCTACTCAACGCGCGTCTTCATTCAATAAACTGCAAAGTGTCCGATACTGTGTTTATAAATTTTTGAAGTGTATTTTAACAGTGGTTTAACTGAATATCAAGGTATAATTATTTTAAATTAATTATTAAAAAATATTTAATGTGTTTACATTAAATATATTTCCTAAACAATAAATAATTTTTATTGATTTACGTTCTTATTAAATGTTATTTAAAATTTAATAGTTTTATTAAAAAATTAATCTTAATTCTATTCTGTCACATTTTTTTATTCGTATAAATTTGTTTTTTTTAAATTATATCCGAAAATATCATTCGATTTATTATATAATAAAAATAATGTATATCACATGTGAAAAAAAATAAGAAATGCATATATAAAATGTTTCATATATAAATTAGAAATAGAAATTTATGTGTGTATATGTATAATTTGAAATTGTTTAATTTCTTTTTTTTTTCTAATCTAATTTTTTTTTTTACAGATGTCAACAGAAATGGAAACAAAAGCAGAAGATGTAGAAACTTTTGCATTCCAGGCAGAGATTGCTCAACTTATGTCATTGATTATTAATACCTTTTATTCAAATAAAGAAATTTTTTTAAGAGAACTTATTTCAAACTCTAGTGATGCCCTTGATAAGATTCGTTATGAATCTTTAACTGATCCTTCTAAGCTTGATAATGGCAAAGAATTATTTATTAAAATTATTCCAAACAAGAATGATGGTACTTTGACTATTATTGATACTGGTATTGGTATGACTAAAGCTGATTTGGTAAATAATCTTGGTACAATTGCAAAGTCTGGTACCAAAGCTTTTATGGAAGCACTTCAAGCTGGTGCAGATATTTCCATGATTGGACAATTTGGTGTAGGTTTTTATTCTGCTTATTTAATAGCAGACAAAGTCACTGTTATTTCAAAACACAATGATGATGAACAATATTTATGGGAATCTAGTGCTGGTGGATCATTTACTGTTAGACATGATAATGGAGAAACATTAGGACGAGGAACAAAAATTGTTTTACATGTGAAAGAAGATCAAACTGAATATTTAGAAGAGAGTAAAATAAAAGAAATTGTAAAAAAACATTCTCAATTTATTGGTTATCCAATTAAATTAGTTGTGCAGAAAGAACGTGAAAAAGAACTGAGTGAGGATGAAGCTGAAGAAGAAGAAGAGAAAAAGGAAGATGATGGAAAACCAAAAATTGAAGATGTAGATGAAAATGAAGAAGCATCAGAGGAAGAAGGAAAAAAGAAGAAAAAAAAGACTATCAAAGAAAAATATACTGAAGATGAAGAATTAAACAAGACAAAACCTATCTGGACTAGAAATTCTGATGATATTACACAAGAAGAATATGGTGAATTTTACAAATCATTGACAAATGATTGGGAAGATCATTTGGCTGTTAAACATTTTTCTGTAGAAGGTCAATTAGAATTCAGAGCTTTACTTTTTATTCCAAAACGTATGCCATTTGATTTATTTGAAAATAAGAAAAGGAAAAATAATATTAAATTATATGTAAGAAGAGTATTCATTATGGATAACTGTGAACAGTTAATTCCAGAATATTTAAATTTCATAAAAGGAGTAGTTGATAGTGAAGATCTTCCTTTGAACATTTCTCGTGAAATGCTTCAACAAAATAAAATTTTAAAGGTTATTCGTAAAAATCTTGTAAAAAAATGCATAGAATTGTTTGAAGAACTTACAGAAGACAAAGATAATTATAAAAAATTCTATGAACAATTTAGCAAAAATATTAAATTAGGTATTCATGAGGATAGTTCTAATCGTAATAAATTGTCAGATCTTTTGAGATATCACACTTCAGCTTCTGGAGATGAAGTCTGTTCTCTTAAGGATTATGTAGGCAGAATGAAAGAGAATCAAAAACATATTTACTTCATTACTGGAGAGAACAAAGACCAAGTTGCAAACAGTTCATTTGTTGAACGTGTAAAAAAACGTGGCTTTGAAGTTGTTTATATGACAGAACCTATTGATGAATATGTAGTACAACAAATGAAAGAATTTGATGGAAAACAATTAGTATCTGTAACCAAAGAAGGTTTAGAGTTTCCTGAAGATGAAGATGAAAAGAAGAAAAGAGAAGAAGACAAAGCCAAGTATGAAAATTTATGTAAAGTAATGAAAAATATTCTTGACAATAAAGTAGAGAAAGTTGTAGTTTCAAATCGATTGGTCGATTCACCTTGCTGTATAGTTACTTCACAATATGGTTGGACTGCTAATATGGAAAGAATTATGAAAGCTCAAGCACTTAGAGATACATCTACTATGGGATATATGGCTGCAAAAAAACATCTTGAGATAAATCCTGACCATACTATTATTGAAACTTTACATCAGAAAGCAGAAACAGATAAAAATGATAAAGCAGTAAAAGATTTAGTAATTTTATTGTTTGAAACAGCACTTTTATCTTCTGGTTTTACTTTAGATGAACCACAAGTTCATGCTGCAAGAATTTACAGAATGATTAAATTGGGACTTGGTATTGATGAAGAAGAATCTGTACCAGAAGAACAAACTACAGAAGAAATTCCTCCTCTGGAAGGAGATACAGAAGATAATTCACGAATGGAAGAAGTAGATTAAACTTAATGTTAATAAATTTAAATATAATGACAATATCGATGTCATTATAATCATTAAAAGACTGCTGAAATAACCACGTTTTATGTGGTATTATTATCCATTTTCATTTTAATTTTCTGTATAATTTTAATTTATCAAAAACATTTTTTGATGCCAAATACTTTGTAATTAAGTTAAATTTACATTAAAATAAAATAAAATTTATACAATGAATTCATTATCTTTACTATATATCTATCATATTAAATAAAATATAAGATAAATATAAATAAAAAGTAATTATTTTATTTATAAAAATTTCAAGAGATAACAATTGAAGATTTATATATTTTTTATTTCGTAATATAAATAACCTATTTGACCTACATTTTTATTTGAATGTATTAAAATAATTATTAAATTTAATGTATATTTCGATATATATACATATTTATTATATAGATTTGAATAAGAATATACTTGAACGAAGTTAAATAGAATGTTGTTTTTTTAATTTTTAACACCATATAGTTCATATTAACTTTATAAGACTAGTTAACCTTATACAAATATTTCACGATTGTTTTGTACTCATTGAATATGTTAGAACACGCCATCTATTTGAGATTTTTAAAGTGATTGAAAGAAGTTGCAAGTAAAACTTGGTCTTCGCATAAGATACATTAAAAAACAATTATGATGGCAAGCAAAGGTTGGAAGGTCAGTGCATCGGTATAATTGTAAGAAGAATATATGCATATGTATGTATGCATAGATTAATATATGTACATAATAAAACGTGATCAATTTATAAGAATTAAATTTCATTAGGTAGTAAAACCACACGTGCCTTTGATTAAATTTCGTAAAGGTGGGATTCAGAAAGGTAATGTAAAAGAAAAATTACTGAATACCATCGAATGTTGAAAATTTCAATTGAAAAAATTCAATTGAAAAAGCCGACTGAAATCGTTGTTATTGGTTAACTACTGCAGATACAACTTCAAATCCACCATCTAAGCACTTAGACTCGGCTATGTTAGAACAAAATAATCCTAGTGCAACGGGACCTAATGTAGTTGTTTTACCAACAATAGAAGATCTTTATCTTCCTGCGCGATTTCAAAGACGACCCATTGATGAGAAAGAAATTGCATATATTAATGTAAGTATACTATTTATTTTACTATTTATAATATAATTAAATTTCTCGTTCGTATAATACAAAATTCATTAATAAAAGTCATTAAAATATAAATGAGTATATAATTATAATGATAATAATTTCTAAATAATAATTTGCATATTTTTTATCTTTATGAATAACGAGAAAAAAAATCATATTAAATGAATCCTTTTTTATTACAGAGAGGTGGTCCAGAATAAACTTAAATAATTTATAGAACATTATAAACTTTAGAAATCATTAACAAATTATTTACTATTAAATTTTTATGTATAATTTATTCTGTAAATAAATGCAAGTAAAAGAAGTATACATATTTATACTATTTACCTAAAATAAGGTCTCTCTTTGCTTATGTGACATTGTCTGCTATTTCTGGCTTGTCTTTTAGCTTATTTTTATAACTAACAAGTAGAATGTTAATTCTAAATAAAAAAAAATTTAATAAAATTACTTTATTTTTCTGTAATATTTATTTTATTATGTCAATATTAAAATTTATTTAGTTTTTAAATATAAAAATCGTTACGAATTCTTTACAAATATGTTTATATGAATTTTTTTGTTATTTCATTAAGATAAAAAAATCAAACATTAAATTCATTAAAATGTTTCTTAACAATTAATTATTTAAATGTATTCTAATATAGATAAATTAAAGAAAAATATTATGGGAACGAAAGTCAATAGACACAGCCCTGTTCCATGACAGAAATAGCAGACGACAGTGCGCTGTGACTGTGTCTTCCATCCGCTTTTACGATCCCTGGACGTAATAGTGGAAGATTTACAGTTGTTTTATCTTTTATCGAAATTGCGAGAGTTATACGAACGAAAAATTTACGAATATGGCTGAAATAACAGATTTCGGTCCGAGAAAGACGATTTTTATCTTAGCCATTGTAGCCGGGTGTTTTGCGATATTATGGCCGAAAATTTTCTATCCTATGCTCACAGCATCTGTCAATCCACATCATATGACCGACAATTCTGGTAAGATTTTATAAAGATATTTTATTTGTAAAAAATAAAGAAGAATGCATAATATATCAAAGTTTTCTAATTTAATTATTTTTGAAGTATATTTATATTGAATTAAAATTCAATAATTTAATTTCAGTTTTAAATTTTACTTTTTTTTAATTCTTATATTTTGAATTATTTAATAATTATTTAACATAAATTATTAAAATGTTATTTTTTTCTTGTTATTAAGTTAAATTTAAAAATGTTTATTAGCATGCTGCGATGTAATCTTTGAAAGTGATGTTACTGCAGCTGATATTATGTATGAAATATGTCAGAATATATTGAAGCACCATCAAATTGATCCAAGAATAAGAGATGCTTTGAAAACTATAAAATTAACACCACAAAGTGCAAGTTTATGTAGAGAAGAAATTTTAGCTAGATGTGGTATAGATTTATCTACATTTCTTGCTAAAAGAGAACATCTGGAAAAATCTTATAAACAAGTTTTAGAAGAAATAAGATCATTTAATAGTTCTCTTTGTCTTAAAATAAATTTTGGTATACCTCTTTCTCAACTAGGAACTCCACATTTAATCAGATATCATATTTTAATGCCACACAGTAAGAATTATAAAAGATTTTATTCAAAATTTTTAACATTAACTATTAATAACAGCATGCACAGCTTTTTTTTTATTATTAATATATTTATATTATTTGAATTGAATTATTGAGATATCGATTGTATTTATTATAAAAAATATAATTTGATACTATTAAACTAACTAATTATATATGGAAAGCAGATTCAAGTTATCTTTTCTAGTTGGCAAGTTGCCAAAAGAACAAATATAAGTAGAAATGAGTAGATGAGAATAAATTTACTCTATAGTTATAGCTTTAAATATATGTAATAAACTTTTTCATTGTATAAAATAATAATATATTACTAACATTATAATATTGAATTTTAAAATGATAAAATAATTATAGTAGAATTTTGAATTCTATTTGTGTTATATATTTAAAATTTTTTTAAATAACACCTAAAAACATATTTATATTTCTAGATACAATAAAACAAGAACGACGTACACCTCCACATGCAGGTGGTTTACATCCTGCATTGAGAGAACGTGGTAGAGCTATACCTTCTTCTCATATTGTACCAAAAGTTTCAGATAGACCTGATCATGTTGTGCCAAAAATGAGACCACCTTTAGGTGGTGCAGGACATGTTGTTCCTGCACCAAAAGGAAGTGGTACTATGGGAATTATTATGCCATTGTACACTTTAGGAATTGTACTTTTTTTCTTATATACAATTGTTAAGGTAAAATATCTTGTAAAATTTTAATATTATAATTAGATTAGTATTATAACTACTAATCTTTATAAAATTTTGTTACAAATTATTTTATTAGGTGCTGAGAAAAAATTCGGATAGTGAAATTATTTCAGAATATCCAGGTGCTGCAGCAGAAAAGGAATTTCGAAAAATGGTATTCAGTCCTGAAGCTTTTGCTACTGCAATGACTGGTGGTACAATAAATTATCAAAAGGAAAGATCTCCATCACCACAAAGACCTACTCCTACCTTAGAGGAATTAAAAGACCGTAAGTTTTTTAAGTATTTAAAAGATATTGACCACACTTTATTTACATTATCATTAATGCAGTGTTTTCCTTGAAAGCTAGTTCCTTTAAAGAAATACTGAAAAATAAGGTACATGTTTTTTTGAGTATCTAATCAGATTTTTAAATGGTGTTGCATGATGCAAGGTTTGCACAATTAGAACACACACGTATTTATATCATAAATATAACAAAAAAATATTAGATTAAAATTAAAAATATTGTAAGTATTCGTGTATATTCTCTGAACACATTTGATAATGTTATACATGCTGGAACACAAGAAGCGGCAGGAGACATAGAGATAGATCAACTGAGACGCCGTTTGGTCGAGACAGAAGCAGCCATGGAAAGAATTGTTGTTCAGATGGGCAACATATCACGTTCAGTTATGCATAGTCCAAATCCACAACAAGAATTCAAGGTTTACTAGATTAATTATGAAGCAGTTTACATTTTCAGTTCTTTAGTCTTTAGAAATATGCACGTTGTTGTGTTCTGATTGCGTTTCAAGTTTTACATCTCCTCTTGTATGTTACATTTTGCGTATTCGTTATAAAATCTTCGATATTTCGCTTTTTCTTATACTTCAATGCTTATATAACCATATTTAAATTAATGATTATTTTGTATATATTTATCTCTATAAAAAAAGTGCATACTCATATTTTAGCTGAGTGAAATACTCGTTAAAACATTTAAATTGATAAATTTAATTCTTAAATAATTTAGAATTTATAGTTTTTATTTTTACATTTAAATAGTAGATGGGCCTCCAAAGTCCAAAGGCCTGGCAGGGATTGATCGCTCATCTAAGGTATATTCTTTGCCTAAAAGATTTTCTAACAAGAATAACCAATGTTTATATTAAATTTTTTCCATAAATAACAAAATTTATTTTGTTCAAATATCCTAATATTAAAGAATCAGTATTGAGATAATATTTAAGACTATTTATAATATGTTATAAATCAAATCATATTAAATATAAAAATAATCTGTAATGTATTTATATATGTCAAATATGATTTTTTTTTTAAATTAATGAATTTAAATGCACGCTTATAAATTATTAAGTTAAGTTATTTCCTTTTATATTATAAACTTTTTTAAATCAATAGCATGATTTTTTTAACCGTTTTTATGAATGTATGAATTTTTGAGTGTGAATGCTATTTTATATTTTTGAAAGGAATTAAAAATATTTACTTTTTATTGATTTATAAATATTAACGATTATAATATAATACTTATATTATAAATTATATTTACATTATATTCAAAATAGGTATAATTATACTTTTAAGAAAATAATATATAAGATCTTTTATTTACAAAATTTAATTTACAGGACAATACCATTGCTCAGGTTCAGTATAGTACAGCAGATAAAGTAGAAAACATAGAACATTCACCAACTATTAAAGTCATGGGTATGGAAATGACAGCTAGTTGTGAGAATAAGGGTAGTAGACCTACTACTCCTATAATTCCAATTTCACCAAGGTAATGGAGAGATTTTGAAAAAGGTATATTTATTAAAATTTATATTATTTTTAATAAATACAATTATTCTGTTTTAGTCATATTGAGAGGGAAAAAACACCACCAAAACCAATATATTTAGAAGGTGCTCTTCCTCCACAATGTGAATTGCTTGTAACAGATTCAGAAACTCAAGCTCAGAAAGCAGAAGAGGATGTAGAGGCACCTATTGTACTTTCAGGCAAAATGACTCTCTCTCTCATCAGTCTCGACCAAAATACAGCTGTAAGAAAATATTAGAATTACAACAGAATCAAATCTGAATCTGTGGAGCCTTGTTTTATTTGGTGATTTTTTCATTCATTTAATTATTTGCTTCTGTATAGATTATTTAACATAAAAATAACAAATTACAGAAACGATAAATAATCAAAATTATTATTTTAAAATAATATTAATTAACATATAAATTTAATATTAATATGTAACATGTATTATTTATCTGTGATTTGTTGTAAATATTAATATCTAATTTACATTTTAAATTGATTAATATTTTATTAATATTTTATTAAAATTAATATTTTAATTTTTAATTTTGAGAATGCATTATACATATATTTCACATTTACATCACATAACTATTAATTGAATAATTAGATTTAGTATTTATAAACTTTCTTTTTAGTACATATATTATTATTTTCAATTATTATTTAAATTTATATAATTTATTTTATATTTTAGTTATTATATTATTTTATTTATTATTATGACAATACTTTTTCGAAGTATAATTATTATATATTTAATTAAATATAATTTTTATTAATTTTTAAAAATAAAATTGTTAAATATCTTTTCATTATATTAGGAAATTGATGAAGAAGATCAAGAAAAAAATGCGAAAAATATAAGAATCTTGAATTCAAAAGATACAGCAAAAGTATTAAGTATTAAAAAAAATAATAAAGAGGAAATTGAGAATAAAGATGAAATAAAAGGAATTTATCAAGGAAAACAAATAGAAATGGAAGAAGAAGAACAGAAAAAATATTTAATACAAAATAGGACAGAAATAAAGCCAATTGGATACAATGAAGAAAAAAAAAAGGAAGAAGTAGGAGTTGAAGAAACAAAAGAGATTGAAGAGATAGAAGAGATTGAAGAAGACAAGGAAGAAGTAGAACAAGAAGATGAGAAAAAAGAAGAAGAAAACGATAAAGCAGAAATAGATAGAGATGATGAAGAAAATGATAAAGAAATTAATAAGATTGAACAGTATAATGAAAGAAATGAAGAAGTAGATGAAAAAGAGGAGGAAGATGAGGAAGAAAAAGAGGAAAAAGGAGAAGGGAGACTAGAGGAAAATGAAAAAGAAAAAGAAAATAATAACAAAAACATATAAAAAATGTATTATATTTCGTGTTAAATCATTAAAAAATAACAAATATACAGAAATAATAAAACTGAATAATAATAAAACAGAATAATAAAACTTAATAAAACTAATAAAAAACAACGAAATTATAAAAATTTGACGAGGAAAGTGAAATTAAATAGATTAAAGATGAGGATTAAAGATGAAGATAATGGGTTGCCTTACAATGAAAAGACAGTTCAGAATAAAAATAAAAATTATAATGACAAACATTTGACTAAATCAGTGTTTACCAATCTTTAAAATTTATGGATTACAATAACAAAAAAATAACAAAATAATTGACAAAAATAATCATGAATGATACAAATCTTGGTTAAGCACTGCCAAAGACCTAATATGATATAAGACTCGAATTTATTCTATGATTACATTATTGCCTATTGTATCTTATATTTCATAGAATCAAAAATTTATTAATCAGAGGGGCCAAATAAAAGGCAGTGTATTGTGCACATGTCTGATTGAGTCATTGTATAATGATGACCACAGAATTCAAATACAGTCAATAGGCACTAAATAATTACTGATAAAACTCTGGTATTAATTCTATATTATTGAGTATGATGATTGGCAAGCACTGATCTATAATGCTTGTACACATACCAATTATTTAGTTCCATTTTGAATTTTTTTATTTATACAAATTTTTTGTTCATTTTTTATTTAATTTTATATGCAATTCTCTGTGCAGTATTTGAGTTATATTTAGATTAGAATTTTTTAATAATGTAGTTTGTAAAACTATTTAGTATGTAACAATGTCATTTTCATACCTATGTTTAATTGTGCAATTTCCATACTAAATATAAATATTCGTCATTTTACTTGCTACACTTTAAGATGTTTGTTATGTATATAAAAAAAGAAAAAAATACAAGTTGAAATCATACTCAGTGTTGTGTAAAAATAAAAATTAGTTTAATTGCATGATCTTCCATGATAATGTTAAAAATGAATAATAATATTTAAATCATTCATCTTTTAATGAGATGACATTATTAATACTACTGTTATATGATGTTTATGTGAGTAGATAATGTTATAATTGTGATCAAATATATTTTAAAATATTTTTACGTGAAAAATGCCGAATTACTGCATTTTTTATAATATGTATTACTATTGAGAAAACGCAAAATCATATAAATATTTAATCTTTATAGTTTTAAAATTATGCCTAGTTATAAAAATTTTAAAAATATACTTCATTAAAAAAATAAAAATTTAATGCAATTATTTAATATAAATTTAATAAAAAAAAATTTTTTAAAATAAATTGCTTTAAAATATAATTAAATTAATATGCAATGGATATATTTTATATTTATTTGTTAATAAAAATATCAGTTTATTCAAATCAAAATATCACAAATTATAAGCTTGTATTATACAAGATATAAGATATAGATTTAACATTTAATAGAATTTTAAATCCTACAATCTGAATTAATCACGTAAAAAATCAGAATGATATTTATAGATATGATATATTGATATATTGAATATGCTATATTGTATTTCTTTGATATAGTACTATTTAAAATTTAAAATTGAGTCAAAAAATTACATTCATTTCAATCACAAAAATTGTTAAAATTAATAAATTTTAAAAATAATTTTTAAATGCGTATAAATAAGAAGAAAAATAATAAGAAAAAGATAGAAATAAGTTAAAGATTGAAAATCAACGGCATCTCTAGAGTGCTATAATAAAACAAATGAGGTAAAAAAAGTAAAAAATAGGAAAAAGATAAAAATAGAATAAGAAATGGCTAACAATATTAAAAAGATGGTGCTGATTTTCAATTCTTATTCTTTATTTTTCTTCTATTATTTGCTCTCCTTAGTCCTATCTTGGTTTATGACACTTTAAAGATGATGCTGATTCCACAATTTTTTAATTTATCTTTGTCTTTCTCTTATTATTTATTTTTTTTGTCGACATTAATTTCACTTATACATTGTAATATAATTATATAAAGAATCATATCACGTATACGTATATCTACATAACGCGCGCATATATATATATATATATATATTGTATATATACATATATACAATATCAGTTTTCCATCATGTATCACAATTAAATTACTTTGTAATCTTTATGTATTTTGTGCCTACAACTTAATAAACAATAAGATTTATTTAATATTTTTTAAATCATAATATTTTTATTAGTGCAAGTTCTGTGATAGTTTAATAAATTTAAAATCAAACAGACTTTTATTTTAAATTATATATGGCTAACCTATAAAAGGTTATTTCAATTTATAAAGGAATAACACATAAAATTTTAAGAATTTAAAAATTTAATAATAATCTTAAGAATGCAATCTAATGAAAGAAAATATATTTTCTTTTATAATATAAATTCATATATATTATTATAAAATTATAATTTCGTAATAAAATCGTAATAAAATCTTGCGTATAAATATGTACTTTTACATATTTAACTTGAAATTTTATTATTATTTTAGTGCATAAATGCGATAAATGAAAGTGCGACATTTTTTTGCGGGTATCCTTATAGGCATTCCTATTGGGATCACCTTTTTGGATACAGTTGGTTACATAGCTAAAGTAGAAGGAGTTTCTATGCAACCAACTTTGAATCCAGATGAGAGGAATCCAGATTATGTTTTTTTGAATCGTCGAGCAATTCGCACTCAAGATATTCAACGCGGTGAAATAGTAACTGTTAAATCTCCAAAAACTCCAGAACAAATTTTGATTAAACGTGTTGTGGGACTTTCTGGAGATATAGTACGCACACATGGGTATAAATCAGATATTTTTCAGGTATTTAAATTATTTATATTAAATTTGTAGAATTCATGAAGAGAATATATTTATATTTGCTTAGGTACCAGAAGGTCATTGTTGGGTAGAGGGAGATCATATTGGACGATCTATGGATTCTAATACTTTTGGACCTGTTTCTCTTGGATTAATAACAGCAAAAGCTACTTCCATAGTCTGGCCACCTAGCCGTTGGCAATATCTTTATCCTTCTATGTCAAATCACAATTTTCCATTAAATTCACCAAGAATACCAAGATAAAATTTCTTATAGAAAAAATGAGAGCTGTTAGTTTTGTTAAAAGATTGCAATGGGATTTACCTGGTACTGTGTGTAGACATGGATTAACAATAGGAGATGTTGATAATGATGGTGATAATGAATTAGTTGTTGGTACTGCAGAAGGAGAACTTTATATTTTTAAAGTGAATTTTTTTATTCTCTAACAATTCTTCAATATCAAAAATTATTGAAATGTGTATTTTAAATATTTTTATTATTATTTTTATTATTATATTATAGGGCTCAGAATTATGGCAAAAAATACCTGGATTAGGTCTTATTACTAGTGTAGCAATAGGAGATATCTTTAATTATGGACGAAATGCATTAGTTGTAATATGTGGAGATGGTTGGGCACATATTTTTTATAGTCCAAGATCTGTTAATCCTAATATTGTTAATATAAGTTCTACTCAATTAAATAAGGAAATAATTGATCAAGATAACATGAAACATAGTAAGTTCATTTTTATTGTATCGTATTTAAAATTAAGTTTATTGAAGTTTATTATTGAATAAAAATTATAGATCATGCAAATGTGGATGTTATAACAAGTGTTAATATGACAAGTTCCTCAAGTTTAGATCAAATAGATGGTAACAACGAATTAAATGAATTGTCTGGTAAAATGGAATGTGTGCATGTACAAAGAATTCCAACCAACACAAAGATGATTTTAATAGCAGATGTTGATAAAGATGGTGCAAATGAGATGATACTTGCTTTGACTGATCGTGTAGTGAGATCTTATAGATGGTCAAGTAATTTAGAATTAGGAAGAGGAAAATTAGTTGGATTGAACAAATGGGAATGTGCAAATCAAATAGGAACTGTCACATTACAGGTATAATAAATAAAAGATAAATTTTAATTTGTAATAATAATATAATTTTTAATTTTTATTTAGCATATGGCGGATGGAACACCAACTTTATTAGTTGCTCAACCTGGTGGAACGTTCATGCGAATTAAATGTAATCCGGAAGATTGTCATTTAGAAGATGAAACTGATCATAAAAGTAATGAAACAGAAGCAAGCTGTGTAGATTATCAAACATTGGGAATATCAAGAATGCGCAATCAAAATATTTCGACAGAAATCATCGGAGATTTGGAATGTATAGTAGAGAATAAGGTGTCAAGTTACGAATTCAAAGAATCATGTAAATCGAATGTTTTAAATGAAATTCAACATAGTAAAAATTTAAAATCTGTCTCGTTAGAATCTAAGAAAAATAATTCACAATTAGAAACAAGAAAAAGTACTATGGAAGGGCATAGAAAAAATTCAACGATAGACAATTCAAAAATGATAAAAATTTCTGGAACTTCTGATCTTTCTAATCGGGATCAAGTTGACGGTAATGTTTTGGGAGGCAACGTAATTCTTGGTGATTACGATATTAAGACGGAAAAAGATTCTTTATTACCTACATATAAGCATTTTTCATGCCGAGATAATAGCAATAATTATAATAAAGAAGATTTAAAAGGAAAGAATAAAATCGAAATTGATGCGAATATACAAAATAATTCTTTTCAAGGAAAACCTTATGCTCTTGCTACTTTAGATGGGACAATAATGTTGGTTAAGGATGAAGTCATTTTATGGTAAGATTATAAAATCGCTAATTTAATAACTAAGTATAGATTACACGATCTTTTTTAGGTCGATGCAAGTAGATCATCAGATATTCTCTTTATGTCGATTAGATGTAACTGGCGATGGTTCTGATGAGATAGTAGCTTGCGGATGGGATGGACAAACTTATATTTTAGATCAACAACGTAATAGTGTACGTTTTCAATTTGAAGAACCAATTAGAGCATTTTGTACTGGTAATTATAATGTTACTCCCGGATTTCCGACACCTTGCCTTGTATATAACAGTTTTAATAATAAGGTAATGTTATTATTGTAAATAGTTTTAATATACAAAATAATCAATATAAAATTACAAATATTAATATTTGCAGATATTTCTTTATTATGACGTTACACTTCCAAGTATGGTTACTAAGCCTTTAAATCCCATAGAGAAGCTTGATTTCGAAGAAAAGGAAATTTTAGACAATCTTCTAGGAAACTGTAGTGATATGGAGAAACAACAAAAAATGCGAGAGTTAACAGAATGGTTATTATACGGTATATCTTAAAAGATTTGATGCTGTAAATTATATAAAGAATTATATAAAGAAAAATATATATGCAAATTCTTATATTCCTTTTTTTGTTTTTTCTACATGATATATTAATATGTTATTAATATGTTATTAGTCCGTATCGACAGGATTTAATTATTTTAAACAATCCGCTTCGTCATTTCTTAGCATGAAATGCATATATGAGTGACAAAAATTCTTATAAATTTTTAGTAAATAAGATGAGGAAGATATCGGTTACCGAATAACTCAAGGTTCAGTCTACAGAAAATGGTTTAAGGATACCTAATTATTTACAGAACATTGCGAAAGATGGAATGTTATCTACCTATCATAAATTAAAACTGGTGTCTGTGTAAAATCGGCTAAAATATAGCATCAGTTAGAACGTTATCATTATTAGTAGGAATATAGCTCTCGTCAAGTATTTTTCCGAGCTTTTATCAAATTGCAAAATTTGATATTCATAGATGGTCCATTAATCGGGATTTAATAAAAATTTCTATAATTAATAGCTATATTTCGATTCAAATATATCGGTTCATGTGTTGATAAATTTACTTTTCGATAACAAATAAGAAAAATAGAAAATCAAAACGTGAGTGTTACAAATATATTTGATCGATCTATTTATTGTACCATATCGAATATTATCGCATATTGTAAATAAAATAGATTGAAATCGGAGTTTTTTTTGTTAATTACAATAGCGAATCAACGATAGAATAAGTTGCCTAGTAAGAGAGTGACGAAGTAAAATATTCTTGTAGTGTTTAGTGTGATTTCATTTTCAAATTTAATTTCATGGATTTTAGAATGGCAGAAAACGAAACAAGATCATTGCTTGGACACGAATTGAAACACCTTACATTTGGATGGACCGATTACACATTGTTCGGTGGTCTTTTAGGGATCAGTGTACTTATAGGGATTTATTTTGGCTGTTTCGGCAAAAAACAAGATAATACTACCGAATATTTGCTCGGAGGAAAAACAATGTCCTGTTTTCCTGTTGGCATGAGTTTAATTGCTAGGTAAATTATTGTGAAAAAATATTTTTCATAAAAACCAAATATAAATTGCTAATTAAATTTATCGATAAAATAATATCATTTTATTCGATTAAATGAAAAATAATAAAATTGATATTATAAATTGGTTTCTTTAATTTTTTTTTAGTCACATATCGGCAGTTTCTTTGCTCGCTATACCTGTCGAAGTATATCAATATGGTACACAGTATGCTGCCTGCGTTTTCACATCATTCATAACGTGTGTTCTTATTTCAATTATATATTTGCCAGTATTTTATCAATTACAACTGACCAGCACGTTTGAATACTTAGAGCTGAGATTTACAAGACCTGTGAGGACGTTTGCCTCATTTCTTTATTCACTTTCTACGGTTATTTATGTCCCTTTAATCGTATATGTACCATCTTTAGCATTTTCTCAAGCAACAGCGATCGATCTCTATCTGATTACTCCGATAATCTGCATCGTGTGCATATTTTATACAACTATTGTAAGTTATTTTTTCAATTATCTCTTTTTTATAAATAAGTTAATTTTGAAATAGATAATTCGTATCGAAAAGATTTATTTCGAATCGTTCAAGCAGAAAAATATATACAAATAAAAATTTTTTTTTTTACAAGTCAAATTTACAAGAAAATAATTCGCTTAAATATCTAATGTATTTACATATTGCGGACAAATTACGAAAATTCTGAGATTTTTATTATTATCGGAAACATGTCTGGCTATTGGATAAAATTAATAATAAAACTATTGATCCGCAATGTGTTAAGAATCTTTAGATGACATCGAGAATCGATACTACTTTAATTATTAAATTTAGAGAATTTTAAATATCATATTCCTGTGATATATTCAACTTGTTCTTTCAGATAAAAAATCAAAAAGAAAAAAATCTCAAAATTATTTTTCATTTGAAAGAGAACGATTCGAAAATCTGATAATCATATAAATTACATTATATATACAACGCTCAAGTTGGCAAATTTATCATAAAGAAAATACGAATGAAATATAATTAAGATTTAAGGCGGCATTAGAGAAGTCATCTTTTTGTCGCATCAGTATTCGTCAAATGTTTACAAATACTTAAAAATTAATAAAGATAGATGTGAACAAAAACTATAATCATTCCGCGTAGAATTATATTATGTAAATTAGATAAAATAATTGTAGATTAAATTATACGATTAAATTAAAAGACAAAACGTAAGATATACGATTTGCATTTCACGCGACACGTTAATTTCCATTGATCGACTCGTGTCAAGTCGTATATTTTTTGAAATATTTTCGCCATTCTTTTTCATCATATTCAGGGAGGTTTGAAAGCTGTTGTATGGGCGGACACCGTTCAAATGATCGTAACGTTGGGAAGTCTGTGCGCCGTTTTCGTTTTGGGTATCATAAATGTGGGCGGTATATCGGAGATTTGGAAAATATCGGAAGATGGTAGCAGAATACAATTTTGGAAGTATGAAAATGACATGAACGTTTTAATTTAATTTCAAGGTAAATTGTTTTTCACCCTCTGTTCACGTATTACATATATTACATTCACACGTTGCAGCATGGATCCCAGTCCATTCGTTAGAAATTCTTTTTGGGGGATGTCGATTGGAATGGTGATGACGTGGTTACACGGACTTGGTATCAGTCAAGTGTCCTTGCAGAGATTCCTCTCTGTGCCTAATTTGAAAGAAGCGCACAAGTGAGTATCATTTTTTTAAAGAATAAGAGAATGTATGAGAGAATCTATATTTTCCATTTGTTGTAGGGCAATAGCGCTTACGTGTCTATGCATGGTTGTCATCAAATGGATATCCGTCTTTACCGGACTTATAATGTACGCCAGATATTACAAGTGCGATCCCATTAGTACCAAAGTATGTATTTTTTCTTCCTTTTCTTATCTGTTAGAAATATAATTATATTCCTTATTCCAGGATAAATAAATCAACGGATTAATTGGTTTTCAGGTAATTTCCAGGAGCGATCAATTACTTCCCTATTACGTATTGGACGTTGCTGCGAATATTCCAGGTCTTCCTGGCCTTTTCCTGGCCGGTCTTGTCAGCGCTGGTCTTTCGACGATGAGCGCCTCTCTGAACACAGTGGCTGGTACAATTTATGAGGATTTCATCGATCCATGGTTACCAAATAATAGTGAAAAAGAGCATAGAGCGGCGAATATTATGAAGGTATATCATAAAATAATAGATAAAATTGTTTGTTTATTTAGAGGAATATTAATGACAAACAATATTACGATTACGATTTTCAGGTTATTGTAGTTATCGTAGGATTGATTTGTGCGGCGCTAGTATTTCTCGTAGATCGTTTGGGCGATATTTTTCGAGTTTCTCTGACCCTTCATGGTATCACGGCTGGCTCAATGCTGGGCATTTTCACTTTAGGAATGACAGTACCATGGGCTACGTCGAAAGGAGCTATCGCAGGTGGATTAACTTCCATATTGTTTATGATCTGGATCATCATCGGTGCTCAAGTGAATATGGCTCAGAAACGATTCTATTATCCACCCCTTCCTACTTCGACCGAGGATTGCATAAACGCAAAGAATGTATTTAATCAAACAAAGACGTATAATGATTCCTTGCCGATTGTCGAAGACAAACCATTCATTCTATACACGATATCGTTCATGTATTACACTTTGCTTGGTTTTTTGATATCAATGGTTGTTGGAACAGCGGTCAGTTTCATATTTGGGACTCCTGATCTACGAGAGATCGATAGAAATCATTTTCCACCTATTGTTCAAAGGTATACCTCTAATTTAAATTTGCGTAAAAAAAAAAAAAATCATGAAATTATAATATATTTACAGATACGCGTGTTAATTTTTGTTTTAGATTTTTACCACCGAAAAAATATACCGAGGTACCGATGCATTCGATTCCAACCGCGTTGATAACAAATCCAGAGAAAGAGAAGCTCAACTCTTGATGATATTTCTTTTTTTTTTCATTTCTTCCCTATGACAATGTGTATTCATAGCAAAATTGTATTCGTTTTTTAATAAAACTATTTACGGTTAAAGACAAATGAATTCCCGAATGATAAGGATCGAAGTATAATCCCGGGCAACCATTTGGCAACCGAGAAAGCTCTACATAACTGGTTCGCCCTGGGTTGAAAGCACCCATTAGGCCCTCGATGAGGGTGTCAAATTGACTAGATTATATATCTGTCCCACGCATCTCAATACAAACAACTCGTCTAAACATCTGGAGGAACGATGTCTATCGGATTAGGACGAATGGAAATGGGAAGGGTGTTTTTTGTCCAGTCATTCGTCGAGTCGGTCTTGAAAATCCGCAAAAGATCAATCGTCAAAATATGCATGAAGATGGTTGCACGTGTCTACGAGCGTGCGTGCCTTTTATCCGGGGAAAAAATTTAGAAGGCCATTTGGAAATAATGCGAAGAATGCCTCGCATTACATAATATCGCTCCTTAAGATATTTTCATCAGATTCAAAGTCGAGTCCATTATAGCATTGCATAAAGTTGTTACATTTCCTTGCAAACATTGTATCGTTTCATAAACGATAAGTCACGTTTGTTGCCCGCGAGGCAGTTTGAAAAATTGCGATTTATCGTCGAACGACTTACGTGGCCCACAATGGAGAAGACATTACGATCCCTATGAAAAATCAATGGCGAGGATATATTAAAATGGTACAAAAGACGCGTAATGCGCCCTGTGCCACGGCTACTATCAGTCACGGTTGACTAAACTAGTTTGCACCAGCTTTCTAAGCTACCTCATTGTTATAAAGTGTCAACGCTTCTATAACCATATCGCTTCGCCCCTATCGCGCACTTTCATTATACCTTTTGTTCGAAGAACAAGCGACACGGAATTCACCTTGTCTTTCCTTCTCCCTCTCCCCGATTTAATTCGATCTTTCGAGAATTATACGGAGAAAATAAATACAACGATCCACGCGTTAAGATTCCGAGGTGAAAGTCGACGAAGGAAGTAACCCTTATCAAGGGATTCGAGATATTATCCTCGGCTTTCAGGAGGACTCGGGCGAGGGGAGAGGGGAAATTCTTCTGTGGAGAGAAGGCTCACGTAGAAACGGCACTTCTGTCTCGAACCGGAGACCGCATTCCACCGAACCATTTTATTTTATTGGACTGAAAGGTGTCAAATATAGGTGGCAAAGGCCTCCTCCTACTTACATTCCTGCCGCTTTCCGTCCTTCTTCCCCGCGCTGGTCTGATTTCACCGCGTAGTAGGTAAAAATGTTCGAGGGAGAGGACCCGACCCATTGTGGCCGGGTGACAGATTTTTGACAGATTCTGTCTGATTTAGTGTCGAGTGACGGAGCCACGATCTCGCTGCATTCACACGGTTAACTAGTCTTACCATCTACCATCCCTCGACTCTCGATCATTACACACGATTTCGATCCTACGTGGGATAAAAATTGACACGCGATACGAGATAACAACAACGGATTATTTTATTTGTATATCAAAAAGGAAAGGAAGAAAAAAGATGACATGATCTCACGCGTGATTTTCTCTCCATTAATTATTCTAACGAGAACGAAATCTCGTTGGCGCGCGAGATGGAAGATTAAAAGCGACAACGAAGAAGTCGTCATCAAAAGGGAAGATAAAAGGAAGAAAAGAAGAAGAAGAAGAAGAAGAAGAAGAAGAAGTATGCTCGTGGAAGCATGCGTATTACAGGCGACGAAGATTTTGGCTTAGGTTTTTCTCTCTCCTTCTTCGTCCCTCTTTCTCCGTGTCTCGTCGAGTGTAACTATATAACGGGGTTCCCCGGTTTTTGTGAGGTCACGGTATACGCGCAAAAGCGAATAAAAGCCGAGGGGGCGCGTACGGTGTGGGATACGGCTTATTTCAGTGACAATGCGTAGGGGCCAGGCGCGGGCATAAAAGAGCATAATGCACCCTGCTAACGTGAAAATTATTCTGTCAAACATTCGGACGTCGGATTACCTCGTGTGCCCTGCCAGGACACGCTTTTTCAAAAAAGACGGAGCCAATAGGCGGTGTGCAGATGCCGAAAGGATTTCTCGGTCAACGAGACGATCGTTGATTTACGCGTCAACTCGGAGGATTGGCAAATTGGGAGGTCGTCGTTGGGGGGGGAGGGTGGGAAGTGAGGGAGAGGCGAAATTTATAGATCCGTAAAATTCTAATATTATGCGCTATTTAAGAGAAAGGTTGTGCTAACTCGATGACGATACAATTCCCATTTACACGCATACGATATTCTGTCAAGCGTTATCGTTTTTCATCCGTTTCGCTATCCGTTTCCATTTTATGTGTTATATCGTTTAAAAAGCATCTACGTTTTTCTTCTTCTTTTTTTTTTTTTTTTTCATTTATTTTTGCTCGTAATCAACCCGCTCCCACTCCCCTCTGTTCGACGTCACGACGAGTAAACATACCCTATGAAAATGAATACGAATATGCCCGACGGTCTCTCCCTTCTCGCGTTCTCGAAAACAGGAAAGCGAGAGAGGCGCATGAGAGAAGGGAGAAAAAAGATTGCGATAGAAAGCAGGCTCCAGGGTTGCGGACACGCGGAATATTGTGACATCTCTTTCTTGGCTGACATTCAATTTTCAGGCTTGAAACGTCGTCGTGCCCCAACCGCACACCATCACCGCCCTGTACTCATAGAATGGAACACGATATACCCATCTACCCTCCTCCCCTTTCCCTTTTCACTGCAACCAATGCAACCAGCCGCACCCCGGGTGCTCCCCGGTATATATACAAACAAACAACAACGGTCTGGCTGTGTCCACGAGACCGACACCCGCCAGGAGGTGTATAGCCGCGCGAAAATATCCTTCGCTTCGGATACGCGGCTGTGCACGAATAGAGTTTGAGTTTGCGCGCAGTTCGAATATCATGGAAAAATGGTATTCGAGTTACAAAATTACACTCGTGTTAAGAATACGAGTTTACACGGGAAATATAAGTTATATCGTCCCAGAAAATTATAAAAATTACACGCAAAGTTAAGCTTGTACGGGAAACGCGCATCGGAAGCGTGCAAGGCCAGACCCGTATGCGCACAAGAGGTTAAATCGCACGAATATAAATTTTTTACACGTGTTGCACGAGAAGTAGGCTATTTACATTTCTCCTAGTAGGGGAATCGAGAAGAGGATATATGTATATACGTCGGGGGAAATTTTTATTTCATCATGAGAGAGAGAGAGAGAGAAAAAAAAATGAAAACGAAAATGATACCGTTTCTTGCGTATGCGGTTTCTTCGATGCTTCACGCGAAGCGAAATGTGAAGGGATAATGAAAAAAAAGGGGGAAGAGGAGAAAGAGAAAGAAAGGAAAGTAAGGAAAAAAACGACAAGAAATATTGCTCGAAATTCGAGAGATATATCTATATATATATATCTCGACGAACAGTTGGCTCGACCGCGTTTTACCTCCAATTAGTATCCTCCTTAATGACGATCGCCGACCTACGCGGCGCGCTCGCGTGACATGCACCGATATATACGCTTGGCTTCGTGTTCACGCTCACCATCCTTTTATACGTATCCACGCGTACACGTACACGCTATCCACGATACATTTCGCGCGACGCATACGTTCTCACGAATACAGAGGCTCCGTATCGAAGGGGAGAAAGCGCGAAACGACGAGAGAGAGAGAGAGAGAGAGAGAGAGAGAGAGAGAGAGAGAGAGAGAGAGAGAGAGAGAGTGAGAGGGAGTAGGAGAAGAGACGGATGGAACGGACGAATGAGAGACCGGGAGAGATAGCGACGGTCGACGAAAAAGGACGGAGAAGATATCCGTAAAAAAAGTCTTTTCCCCTACTCGCGCGCCGAATCCTTACCCCGCCAACGACGTTCGACCCCTCGGGAACGCGTAACGAATGCAACGTGCACCCTGTGCACTCGCGCTCTCCTTTTTCCTCCCTGCTCGCCTCTATTTCTCTTCGATCCCCCACCATTTTCATCCCTACTTCGCCACCACGGATCTTTATTTTTATCGTAGACCGGTCGGAAGGTACGTGGCGTACGCTCACCACGCCCCTACCGTCTCCATCCCGCCAATCGGCCGGCTCGCGACCGGCCATTTTGGTCCATGCGGAGGCTGCGCGTCTATTCCCCGTCTTTGTCTTCCGCCGCACATCGGTGACCTTCGGTTGTGTGGGTGGTACAGAGGTAGGATGGTGGCGTGTGAGTGTGCCGGGTAAAGCCGAAACGGGTGCACCCAGTGGTGGGGCAGTGAAACGAACAAGGCGAATCGGTCGAATGCGCTCGGTCAGTATTTCCCGAAATTTTTCCCGAATTTTGGCCGGTTGAGTAGCGTGAGTCGAGTAGTAGTAGCGGGCCGGCACCTCGTTTCAACGAGGATACATCATCGTTTCACGGGTGACGCGTTACGATCCAGCTGCGAGATCGGTCGGTTTGCCGCGGCTCGCGAAAAGATCGAGGAGATCGTTTCGAGGCCGTGTGGATTTCGAGACACGGAATCCGGGGCTCCTTCCACCGATGGTGGGGGGAGGGGAACGAAGGAAAGTAGGAGAAGGTCTTGCGAAGGTATCGCTTCTCCCTCTTCGATATCGAAACTATCGATAATATTACACGAATTTTCTTATTCTACCGAAGAAGATGCGTGCCGTTTGATGCGTGGATAATAACGAAACGAGGGCAACGAGACAAGAAGACGGGATAAGAGGATATCGTTTTTTACGATCGTGTGGAAGATCGTGTGGCCGAAATTGCACGTATATCTCAAGATGCGGTAAGAAGTTGAGAGAAGAAGGATCGATTCGCGGCAAGATCTTGGAACTCATCCTCGAGGAGCGGGAGAAAAATTGGGAGGCACGATAGAGACACTTTTTTTTGCACGCGCCTCGTCCGTTCGTTTCCCTTCCCGTGGTTATTACGAGAATGCGTAAAAAATGTCACCACCATTAAAATTCTCGCCGAGTGTTCCGTCCAGCTAAATCGAAAGATCGGAGAGAGGGGGCGAGAGAGGTGCGAGCAGGAGGAGGACGGACCACGAGGACTGCACACACCTATTAAATTCTTTCTCTCTGCCCGTTCCCCCGTAAGACTCGCGATATTGTGCCGAGACCGGGACGAGAAAGACAGCGACGTCCACCGATCCAGGCGTACGCCTTGTGTCCACGTTCGCGGTTGATAGAGGTTGGTCGCGAGGTTGGTGGGGAATGCGATGAGAGAAGGCAGGAGAAGGAGCGAGAGTTGGCGATATCCTGACCGAGGCTCGAGATCTCCCTTCCTTCTCAGACGCACGGCGACCGTTCCCTCGTATCTTCGTGTGTGTTCCGTCGAGTAGTAGATCTCGATCGAGAGAGGGAAAATATATCGCGGACGAAGGGTGGGAAGAGTCGAAGAGGAAGAATAAACGAGGAGTTTGCGCGCACGCTCTCCCTCTCTCTCTTCTCTCCTCTCCTCTTCTCTTCTCTTCTCCGTTAGCCGGCAAATTCACGGGCATCGCGGGGAATATCCTGGGGACACGGACCGCGACACACCGAGGAAATTGGCGTGTGTGTTCCCGTGGATGTGGATGTAGAGAGGCTGGTTCGAAGGGATCGTTGGTGGGGATTGGCAGTAGGTTGGAGGGGGGGAGAAGGTAGGAGGACGAGTCGGGAGGACGAAGGCAGCGCTATCGAGTGGCGGTACCAGGAAGCAACGGCGTCGCCCGTCGTCACCGCCACCGGCCCGTGTATCGTCGCCACCGAGAGAGAGAGTATCCGAGAGATATCGTCGCGGTCTAGCGCGAGATACGCGCAATCCCCCCCGAGTTAGTGAGTTTCGCGGAACACAATTTTTTTTCCGTGTCTCTGGAACGTTCGCGCACGACGCACTTTTACCCTCGCGTATCTCGCGCACGGTCGTATCCGATCCTCGAGGACGAGGAAGAAGAAAGGAATCCATCGAATATACGCGACCCGATTCTGCATCGTTCGTTACATCGTGTTACGTGTGCCCTTCTGAGAAACTCTGCTATTTGCTTCGTCGAACGATCCGTGAGTTTGTATCCGGCCGGTTGTATCGCGTGTGACACGAAATTTTCGAACGAACGGGGGAGAAATTGCGAATTCGCGAGTGAGAGAAGGTAAAAAAGGAGGACGGGAAGGACTGTAAGGAAAGCTGCCGGGAAGCTGCGTTAGCAAACACGGATCTGCAGAAATATCACGGACGGATATCCGGCGAGGAGGGAAAGAACGGCACATCGAGGGTTGGGAAGGAGTTGGAAAGGTAAGAGAGGAGTTGGAAATCCTTTCAAACGAAATCTTTCGTTTCGATGTTCGTCGATCACGCGTTATTTCTCTTATTATCCTCGATAAACGAAAAATAGGAAAAGTATTTTCGTTTGTATTTTCGATATTTCAAACGTTTCCGTGAATATCGAAAAGGAGAAGGATAGAAAAGGATATTTGCGCAACGTGTCGATTTTTCGGTTATACATTATAACCATCGTATCTTGTTTACTTTAAAACTGTAGAAAAATTCTTTGAATGGTGTTATCCGTGTCTAACATCTAAATATTGTGTATTGGTACATCTTTCTTATGAGAGCCGAGGACGAACTCTGTTTAACAACACACTGTTATTTTGATTATTATCAAATTGCCAGAAACAGCTACGGATACTAAGAATTATTGATATACATTTCCGTAATTGGATAAACACGTGTCGTAGAATATTATCGAACGTTTGATTTCGATTCCGTATTTAGTCATGTAAATATTCTCGTTCAATAACGATTGAGACACGAGCGCGTGCGAACGCGTTTCGATCCAAGGAACGTTTCATTATTCGGTTTTTAAAATTGAAAATTATCGCGTCTATATCCTCCTCAAATTAAATCTTACTAACTTCATCATTGACTCGGATAGTTCAAACGTATCAAACGTCGTTAAAGGATCCAATCCTTTTTACTTTATCGTACGAATACATTTTTAAGATATTTTTTCGATAACAAATTTTATCCCTTCGTCCTAATGTTGCGCGCGGAGAAACGCGGAAATGGTGTAATTCGATTCGAACAAAATCGAAGGAGAAAACGAGTGTTGCGCGGTCGGAAAGATCCTTGGAGATTTCTGTTTTTAAACGAATCACGGTAGCGAATCGAAGGCTCGTTCCGTTAATTGCGGCCAATTAACGAAACACCCATCTCCCTTTCCTCGGGCATTTTATCACCTTTCGGGTCCATTCACGATAGGTTTTGCCTCTTCTTTCGGAACACGTATTCTGAAGCACCGGTAAACATCGTACGTATTTGTCCGAATAGCGCAACGTCATCTCCGCTAATCGTCACGAAAAGTACGTGGCTTTTCGATAAAGACGGCCACCGTTCGCGAAAATGAAGAGGTTGCGAAACACATCAATCTTTCCAGAAATTTTTTGTATATACCGCACCCGCAATATTTCTTTCGAGAGAAGTTTAACCGAACTTTGGCCATCGACTTTGACGACAGTATCAAAAAAGAAAAAAAAAATCTTCTTCGCGTTTCTCTAATTCGATATCGAAATTTTGAATAATATAATTAGAGTCGAAGAGTAATTGTAATTTATGTAGAATATCTTGTAAATATCAAAATTCTCTTCACGTTCTCGATATATCGCGATTAAAGACAAATTTGCAATATTTTATATTTATTTTTTTATTATTTTTTATTATTTTTTTATTTTTTATTATTTTTTTTTATAATATTTGTTGTATAGAACACGAAACATTTTCAGTTTCTGATAACGTTCACCTTATCGATATCAAAATTTCCTTCGTGTTCCATGCTCTGGATTCGTTTTAAATTCAATTACATAGATTGGAATTTTGATCGACGCAAATAATGATTGATGAACGATTAGCATGCGAAACATTATCGATTAGCTTGAGTGTTATTTTTTATTCGATCATTTTGCGTTTCTTTTTACGGAAAAATTAAATTTTCACGATAGAAGAAAACGTTAACGTTTAGCGTAGCATCGATCATTTTCATTTTCAAAAAATAGTCAACAACAAATTAAGATAGAATTTTCGGAAGAGAAGAAAGTGAGGATCAATTGGATGAATCGAATGCGAGATAGTTTCGATTGATTTTCAAACGAAACGCAAGCGTCGTCAGAGGCAGGGTCGATTATTTTCGTGGCTTTCTGCTTCTTTTTACGGGATACTTGGCGAGATCCAAGTTTTCGTGGCGAGAAGTGGAGGACAACGGGGGGTTGGCGATATTCGTCCCGTGTCCAGGCCACGGACGGACTGACGGACAAACGGACAATGAGAACGAGGAATGCCCCGCAGAGCCAGACATGAAGACGTCACTCAGAAACGGTAACGGCTACGACGGGGTCAGGTTCGACCTGACCGTTCCGTGTTACCTCGAACCAGCTGCGAGTCGAGTGAGTCAGCGACGAACCTGGCAGACCGTCGGACGTCGCTCCATCCAAGATTCCTCTCTCGAAAATTTCTATCGAAATCTATGCCCCTCCACTCGATCGAACCCTCCACCTCGCGACGCTTCTTCAAATAAATTTATCGAGAATCTTCGTCGAGATTCTCGCGTTAAAAAAGAATTATTTTTCTCTTTAGAGACACGCTCTCATCCGTCGACGAGGGAAGAACGAGTTTTTTTTCTCTCTCTCTTCATTTCTAAGAATCGAATTCGCTTCGAAATTTCGAGTGAAAGAAAATCTGGAAGCAACCAAGAACGTGTATATATATATATATATTACTTTTTGCAAATTAGTTTCTAGCAAAATTGACAATGAAAGATGGAACGGCATCTCAACGCGTCGCTGCCTCGTAATACGGCCATAAATTAAATCGTGTGTCGATTGGTATGGCGCTGTTAGTATATGATTTACAAGCGATGACGAGCCGGATGGGGAATAATATCGGAAAACGAGGCACAGCGTGCGCATATTTGATGTAACTGATTATATCCCCGACAAAGTATTATCGTTCGATAACGAAACGATTGAAATGCGTGGACTCGACGAGGGCCTTGAACTATCTTCCGCAAGAGGAGGAAAGTCTCCTCTTTCCAGGAGAACGGATTCAGCCTAACTTTTAATATCCATCGAGCGTATTCGTCCGAAGGAGTATCACGAAACATCACGATTTGTTCGTCGAGAGAATTTAGAATAAACGAGATGCGTGGCTCGTTGTAGAGAAAACCTTAACGAACCTCGATCATCTCCACGACGAGGATGGAACGAGGAGGGAAGGAATCTCGAGATTAGTTAAACGGATCTGTTTCAACTAGATCGAGCACCTGTGCGTTCCTAGTGGAAAAAAAGGATTGAGAAACGTTTGCAAATATCTTTCGAGTTGTTTCTCTTCACATTGCGTTTCGAGATTGAAAGAAGCGTGAACAGCTTTTCTTCCACTGTAGATGTATCCATAAGTTGAGAGAGGTTGTACTACGAGCACCACGGGCTCGCAGCCACAACAGAGACCCCCCGGCACGGTTAATAATCAGTTTCATTGTCATGTTGAAAAACAGCTTTCGGGTTCTTGGGCCGAAAAATCATTCTTTTGCGATGAAATGTCCTCGACAGTTATCGCTCTTGCACTATCCCCGCCACTTTCTTCTCCTCTCCACCAATTAGTGGTTTCGTTCGAAACTCGACAGGGGTTCCCGTTATCCCGCAAAAGGTGCCAGCGGAACCCCGCTTTGGAAACACCTGGAATACACGGCTCATCGTTCATTTTCATCCCGGGAGAGCGGCTTCTCTCGCTCGTGCCGGCTAGATCATTCCTCCGACCCGAGATATAAAACGGAATGCCCTAATGAACGACAATATTTGGAACTGGCGCACAACTCTGTATCCTCTCCTGTTTCCGCGTAAGAGAGAGGAAAAGTTATTCGATGGACTGGAAAAAAAAGAAAAAAGAAAAAAAAGGAATAACCTTTATCGGGATGCGTGCACTGGCACAAATCATTATTAACGATCGGTGTTGTTGAATTTCGTTTTGAAATATCGCCGGATCTCTTTCGACAAAATCGAAATCATCTGTTTTTTTTTTTTTTTTTTTTTATATATAACGATGAATAATCGAATTGGAGAACGAGATACTCGTTTTTACTTCGTATCTTCTCTTTTATACACGCCTACTAATCGTTACGAAACTGCGCGAAAACGAGTTTACGAATTCCATCCCGAGCACGAACACGAACGGGCATCCTCCGAAACGGGCGTCCTCCCGGTAAGAGGAAGAATTGGCGCGTGTAATAATAACCATCGCGTATAAGGTATCGTGTAAAGGCGAGCCGGCGAATCATCGTAATAGGAATAATTCACGAGGAAAGGCCGCATCGATTTCGTGGTGGATCGTTCTTGGTTCTGTCCTAGCCGTCCCCGGTTTGGGAGTCCCCCTCCACCCTCTCCTCCCTCTCCTCCTCCCGGTTTATAATAAGGCGCTATACGGAGAGTCTCGTGCAGGTGTAAGGAGGTGTCCGGCACCTTAAGGCTTCTAGTAGGGTCGAACGGAGCGGCATATTTCATCCATTGTCGCCCCTCAACTCCGGCGGCGGCACTTTTCAACTTTTTATAGAGATTTTTATACCGCTATATCTATACCGCTCTCTCTACGCTCTGTCGAGAGGATGCGCTCGAGCGGACGGGTGGACCGCAGGGGGGAGAGGAGGAGGGAAGGAGGGAAGAACGGTGAGGGGAGGAGGTAGGCGGAGGAGGCGGTGGCGGAGGGAGGGTTCGCCACATCGCGCGGCTCTGAATATGAATATAATAATGAGAACGGGTTTCGTCGTCGTTCCGCTTCTCCGCTTCTCTTCGTCCTTCGACTAGCCGCCCCTCATCCTCTCCTCCTCCTCCTTCTCGTCTCCTTTCTCATCCTCCTCTCCTCTTTTTCCGCTTACTTCGGGGGGCCTTTATATATATGTATATATATGTATATATATATACATACGTACGCGCGAGCGCGAGATACCGCCAAGCCGGCAGCTCCTCCGCCAACAACAACAACAACAACAAAACGAGACGTGTCACTGTAACCTGTTAAATTGCCTCCTCGTACCCGAACTCAACCCTTTCGCCCTCCTCCCGCTCCAGAGTCCTCTGTGATGCGAGCCGATCCGTCGCTCTCCCGCCACTCCTCCCAATTCTGATTATGAGTATGCGTACCGGACCGTACCATACTACGTATCTACAATAAAACAATCCGAATTTCGATTCGAATCGGAGTAGTTTCTTCTTCTTTTCTTTCTTTTTTCTTTCTCCCCTTCGTTGTCAGTT